ATTTTATCTCGTAAATTAAGCTTCAGCATCTATTGACGCTTTATTCCTTCAAAATTACTTCTCCACCTATTTAAATTACGTTCAATTTCAAAGCATTAATTTACTCACTCTTCAATACAAAAGCTTGAACAGTTACTTCATTTAAGGCTTGGTTTAGATCTCATCCTCATTCCTTGTCAATATTGGAATAGCCTTCATCACTGGATAAAAAATTTCAATACTTCACTGTACGATTACACAAAAATTTCCCCCTTATATTTCGTTTCTCTTCACGCAACTTAAAAACATATAGGAAGACTAGAATAATCCAGCTAACGACATACAACACTAATACTCAATACTCCCTACTAGACGTACATTAATCGCTGACCCATTTTGCTTACTTGTCAAAAAAAGCACTGTATACAGGATGCTAGCATATTCGTAAAAGTAAAGAATAAAAAAAAATCGTGGCACTTTGTTTGATCTAATAAAACCTCCAATTTATCTCCCAAACTTTATCAATAAACAATACAACTTTTTAAATCTTAGCACAAGCAGCGGCTAAAATTGAAAGGACAGGAAAATATGCATCCCATAAGTAATGCAGCACAGGCAGAAAAATGAAACTGGTGCTAAACAAATGTGCAATTAAGTGAAATAAATGTCTGTCTGATACATCATTCACAATCACATTTTATTTTCTTGATTTTGTACTGACAGCAACTGACTTCGGTTGACTTAGACGTCTGAAAAATGCATCTATTTCAGCTTTCGTTCGTCGAGGTCGTGCTGGTGCAGCAGCTTTACTTGTGTCTCTTGCCTTGTCCTGTTGGTCGATAAACGGAACTTTCCCTGGACAAGCTACTTCTGTTCGTTCATTTTTCTGAAAACTAACATAGAAGAGTCATTTTATAACAGACTGTGAAGCTTTTTAATATGCGTTGATTACTGCATTTTTTAGCATTGAACATCAACTAGGTAAGGAACTTAAACAGCTAGATTTTTTTATTTTTCGAACGCATGAATAGATTAATGAAAAAAAACAATACTTTTTCAACGAAAAACATTACTTTTATTGATGCGCGACTTCTTAGACATGGTGCAAACTCTGTAATACCTTTATTTTTCGGAACAGGAGCTTTTGAAGTATCAAACTTCTCTATAAAATTGGTTATATATCAAAAGTAGCAGGATTAAAAATTATTGAGCTGAACAAAAAGCCAGTGCACTTAAATAATATTATACGTTATTAAAAAAGCTTTAAAAATGTACTGTTTGATTTCTCCATTATTTTTACTCTAATTTTATTGAGCATGCCACTTTCCGAACATAAAACAGAAAATAGTGACTGCAAAAATATTTGTTTACAAAAGGCTCATTAGCTCCTTTCATTTTAAAAAGGTATGAAATGAGAAAGTCAGTTATATTTGATGGTTGTAATGTTTTTTTACTTATTTTCCAAACTTTGCCAGCAAGCTGCGTGCTGTATTTTATTTATCTACCAAACCTAAAAACAAAAAAAAGCAACAACCGTGAGCACAGGTAACAACATGAGATGGCTTTTGAGCAAGTGTATGCGAACTTGATACATTTCTGTTCTTTGCTACCTTTAAATATTTATTTATCAAGAAACTAGTATTTAGCAACACAATTTTGATAGTTTTTCTATACTATTGTATTTTATATAAGTATGAGAACCCATTGATAATTTTGAGGACTTTCATTTGTGCAAATTACGCTACAAATTTGCGAAAATAATATTCTATCAAGCATGCAAATCATTTTCAAATCTTTTGTTTTTAAGTCTCGTGAAATTCTCTATTTTTATACAATCTTAACTTCATCCAAAAAAACACTGTAACATTTTTGAGAAGATTTACAAATGTGCTTGCTCGCAATTCAGCTGTTGACAATCAGTGAAAGAAAGTAGTGCCAAAGATTATTATATCCACCTTGACTTTGTCGGTAGACGGTTCAGAATTTATTCTCTTGGGTTGATTGCAATGGCGATCAGATTTGGAAATTTTCACAGTATCAATAACATCTGGTACTCTTTTAGTTTCATTTTGCACCGATTTCAGATCACTGAAAATCTGAGAGAATCAAGTAGATCTAGCAAACACCATGTATCAATTTTCATTCGGAGAAAAATGTTCACGTAAATAAAATACGAATGCAAAACATTGCAAGATATTTGTAAGACTTTTTACAAAGACAAAAAAAATGAATTGTTTTAAAAATTTATACTTTTGCATTTGTTTTATCTTGTATCTTGATCTAGTTTCTGGCCCCTTGTATTGCGATGCGTCAGTGGAATTGATACTTCTAACCGTGCGAAGTGTTCCAGACGTTCTAGTAATCTGCCGCTGAACTGATGACGAACGACCTATACTTACTTTATTTCTTTTCTCTACAACTTTAGTATCATTTTTAACAAGTGGACGAACGGCTACAGGTGCATTTAAAGATATTCGTCCGCAACAAAATTTTTGCGTTTTTGCGAGCGACGAACCACTATTGGGACGAATAACATTGCTTGCGCATTTTGAACCATTATTCATTGCTCCAACTTTGCTTCCCAGTTGCTTTTTTGTCAACTTCATATCTTGCTTCATTTCAGCAGAAACTGTGTGTTTCAACATTTTATCCACTAAACGGTCATGTTTCGCGTTTGGCTTCAGTGGAATCTGGGCTGCAGAACTTTTTTTTGCAAGTTTTTTATGGTCGACAGAGCGCTGTTGTTTGAAATTGGCAAAAATTTTAGAAGTTGGAACAGATACATTAGAATGCTCGTTAATTGACGGCGCCGGATGTACTGATCGCTGATACCCTATAAAACTGATACAGAATTTATAATTAAAATGTTGTATTTTACAAATAGCTTTATTTTGAACAACACATTACCCTCGCACAGATTCGCCTGAACTGCTAAAAAAAGATGAATCGAAACACACCTCGATGAGGAGTTGCAGCGGACCGCCCTGAAATACGCGAATACGCTGCTGATGAACGGAACATTGCTAAGCGATCCAACTCAAAAACGTTTTCTGTAAGTATAACGCTAATCATTAATTTTTATTAAACAATTTCAGGTAAGAACTGCCTCATTTTTTATTTGGAAGTTTTAAAAAAAACCAGGCAATTATTATTTTAAACATGAAAAGTGATTACCTGAGACCTGTGCTTTCATTATATTGAGAAACCGATCTCCCTCTGCTTGCTTTTCACTTTGGGGTGAGTTTAGAGTTCCATGCGAATCCTAAAGAAAAATTTGTTTGCAACAAAAATTACCAGAAAGCAGCAATATTTCAATTCCACTATAATTCAGTAATCTTCAATTTTACTCCGTAGCTTATTTCAGTACGTCATTATAGACATAACCAAACTAAAAACTGGGAATGCATACGAAGAATCGATCCCCTAAAGTTTCCTCAATAGCAGAATTGTCGCCATCAAAAGCATGTTTAAATGAAGCAAAACGAGGCACCGTTGAAATTGTGAAACTGTCGTCATCAGACATGACCAACCTACAAAACCGCTGATGATGCTCGTGTATTGTATTATAATTGTTTCAGAAACAGCGAAATTATTCATGCAAGTTTCGCAAGTAGTGGAATCAGTATATGTAAACTAGAGATGAAATGAATTTTTGCACACAAATATCATCAGCTTTCAAATAGCAAAACATGCAACGGCTTCTATTTCACTACTATACATCAGAAAGCAATCATTTATACAAGTTCATTGTATCACTTCAATTCAAACTGTTAGTATAATAGTAAACTACTGAATCAAGATAGATATGTAAAAAACGCGTGCGTAATGGTTTTTGAATTTTCAAATTGATTTTTTCACGTCCGAATTTTGCAGCTATATACTTCCTACTATTCAATTTGCAGCTACTAATTTTCGTCTGCGTTCGAAATCTCATTGTGGTAGATATGAGTGAGTTATGCTGACAATGGTGTGGGTGTGTTGAAGATGTGCTCCTTCACCGTATGCTTACGTCCGCAAGTAAAAATATTAATTGCTCTACTCGAACGATTGTTATTATTTGATAGCTATCATCAGTTAAAGATTATTTGAAAAACTTGTTAGGTTGAAGTAAGAAATAGAAATAATATGTAATACAGTTCACATGAATAACGTGCAGTATATATAGTCTCTGTTGTTTTAATAAAGGTTCCGATGAAGCATATCCATGAGAAATAGAGGAGAGTTCGGCTTGTAAATTCGAACGCTTCAGATTACTTTCCATTGTTACTATTTGCATTCGGTCCGGGAAAGATCTCATTATCATTGCTAATCCTTGTAAAAATATCAAGTCTGCTCGTCATAAAAACCGTTGTTTCGTAAACGAAACTAAAACACGCGTACGAAAGATTCGATTCAGTGCAAGAACGCCTGCTAGTGCGAGGTCACCTATGTCAATAGTTGTTTGTTATGTCTGTCATTTTTTGCGTTGTTGGTGATCATTGGAGGAGATCAAGACTGAACAGTTTCTTACTCTTGGAAAGAAGCTCTGGTTATTTAAATGAAGTTATTGAATTAGTGCAAAGTTATTCATAATTATGCGTGTTTTAATTTTTAACTGCTCTCACTTGTTTGGTTTTAAACAGTCACAGTAATTTTGATTTGATTTCTCGTTATTGTTATCGCTTTTGCTATGATCTTATCCTCTTAAATACCACATTGCTATGATCTGTATTAATTAATTAGTTTGCATTGTTTGCTTAGTGATCATGACTTATTCCATAATTTAAAATGATAAGTTTTGCGCACATACTTATTGCCACTACTGTTGTATTGATTGTTAACCTGCTGGTAATTAGACAAAATCTTATTTTTTCATTAACTATTGTCGGGAAATAGTTGTAGAAATCCATTGAAAGGGTAAAACTGAGTAACTGACCGGTGCAAATTGTCCATAAAAGGTAAGTTCTGATAGATTATATGTGTGAGATATAATTTGTTGTGATTTGATAATAATATTTGCTTGTTTGGACCTGACTACTCTCGAGTGGTTCATTTTTTTAAGCTTTTAAAACAACTTTTAGTTTACTTCAGCCACAAAAAAATTTTATGCTTCACTATACCATCATTTATGTTTAAGTGTGTCATTTTCACTTTTCCTTTTTTCATTGATGCTACGATAAAAATTTCAGATTTTAAAAAAGCTTGTATAAAGGTTGACTGTTTTTCATTGTCTTCGGATTTGAGTATGAATTGTTACATTTAATATTTTAATTTGAAGATTTATCAAGGAGTTGCATGCATTTCATGCATATATTTAAGCAAGTATAATCGTTAGTTTAATCTATTTTTAGTTTAAAATCAGTATAGTGTACCTCCTTGGCTTCAAGTTCATTGATTATGTTGGATCACTTGGAAAAAAATTAAAAATTCTTCATTTACTCGTCTAATAAATAAATAAATTTTAATAAATAAAAATTTATTTATTAAAATTTAGACGAGTAAATGCATTCCACATTGTTAGTATGCCAAAAAAACTACTTGCTGTATGAATCATTAGATTTGCGAGTTTTTTCCTTGCAGTTTTGTCCCAAAGAGAAAATTAACTGGTAATACTCGTAATGATAATAATTTGTCACGGCAATAATAGTAACTGAAAAAGTTTATAGGCTTCCGAAGATTGTGTGACTGAATGCGGAATATAGATTCAGGAGTGATGTCGGAAAGAGAACTCGAAGAAGGTGAACTTCCTGAGACCGAAGAATTTGATGACAATCAATCAGTTCATTATCATTATCCATTGCTAAGTACAAGAAGGTGCAAATCTGCCAGACCTCCATATAATCAGAAAGATCGGTCAGTGATGAGAGGTAAGCAGTGATAAGCCAGATGTTCTTTGTGCTTAGTATAATGTTTGTGCTGCTAATGGTAATTCAAATCTTTTCTTTCGTAGGAGGTAATTAAATTCGGTTAATGGTATGAGTAATTTTTGATCAGTCGAGTACATAAAATATTAGTGCTCAACAAAAGTGAAATAGGATAACGAGAATATTAAATGTTAAAACAGTTAGTAAGGAACACAACAAAAATGAGTCGAATTCAAATATGAATGAGAAGGAGAATGAAGAGGAGTAAATGTTAACTGACGATGGGAAGGGGGATGAACGAGATGCAAGTTTAGAATTTCTACATTTTAAAGATTTATTGTGACCTTTTGTTTTTATTTTGAAATACAGGATGAAGTTTTAAGCCTAAGTTTCTCATTGGACAAATCATTAATGAGTCAGTGCTAATTGGATGAAAAACTTTTGCTCAATGATTATATCGTAGATAATATGATGTACATTTATATTAAATTTCAGCTTGCATTAAAGTGCTTGCATATTTCGAGCATTTTTTAAGTAATCAAGTTCGTATCGCTCTTTTGTTGATTCAAGCTCTTCTACTCATGTTACATGTATTAAAGTAGATTTTATTTGTCAAAAAAATGTGCCTAATTTTCATTATATCGTGAAAGTTTTAGGAGCAACCTTTTCATTTTGTAGACGCAATCATTTTAAGATTGCAATCATTTGTTATGGAAACGGCGTAAATAACTAATTAAAAGTCTACGACGTATATGATGTGAAAAGCTTGAATTGAAAAGCGATGCATATGAAAAAAAATTGTGAAGAGAATAAAATCTAGTATTATTATTTTTTTGCTGTCATATATCTTATTGTGATCACAATAAATTTCAGATGAAATAGTGGAGTAGGAATGAGTTTAGCATCATTGAGTAACGAAGATGATGATCACTTTTCTGATGAGTTTGTTTGTGTTGAAGGGGCTGTGAAGCGCACTGATGATCCGTCTGAAGCAGCATCATTATATGTGGATATGGAGAATGCAGAAAATGATAACGGAGCAGAAGAATGTATAGGGTTGAAAAATCGAAAAGGACAGCAGACAGTTGATATACGATCAGTAGATGATAGCTGGATCTTCCATTCATTAGGTTTGTCGATTCAAATAAGAACTGCTTTAAAAGTTATTAATTCACTGCAAGTTGTTCAGTTCTGATTATTTTATTCACTTATGTCGCCACGGTTAAGTTTTTTTTTTTTCTTAATAATTCGGTATTTAGAATAGCTGTTAAAAAGTACAACTGAAGCAGTATAAAGCCACTCCGTATTTAGCCACGTGATCGAAAAGCTTATATGTGAAATCCTTGTTTCAGAAAATAATGTTTTCAGTTAGATATTCATTTTATTTATACTTCGATATCTTTCAGTGATGTTCTCTTGATCTCTTACATTATGCTTACCAATTTCTAAATATTTCAGTTATCTTCACGTGACAAGCATTTGTTAGCATTTAATATTATCACCAATTTCAAATTTTATACGTACAATTTGAGTCTTATAATACTGTTTATCAAAAAGTACTGAACTGAGTATTCTAAAAATGAAAAATTTCGTTGATAAAGGTTTATAACTTATTCATCAATAATTAACTTCCAAATCTCTTCAAAAAAAATTAATGCAACTACTCTAATTATTCATGCTGTATGTAATTAATTAGTTATTAATGCGTTTACTTTATTTATCTTCAAAACAATTTGCCTAGTAGCAGAACTACAGCAATCGTTTTATTTTATTTAATGGACTTTACAGGCGAAAAAGTCGAGGGAAAAGATATATCCGTTAAGAATGACAAAAGATTTCGTGAACAATCTGCAGAAGAAACAGAAACCGTAAAGGAATTAAAGCAAAAGTTTCATGATGCAAAAAAAAGATTTATTAAAAATTTTCATTCTCTGCTGGTAACTGCCCGTGGAGAAATTGAAGCACTCAAGAGAGAGCAGGAAAGATTACAAATGAAGTAAATATTTGCTTTAATATTAACAAGGCTATGGTACAAAGAATGGAAAAATCTGAGAAATGTAATGGTTTCAGACTTGAGGCTTATCATACAAGGAAATGTAACTGCAAATATGAGGTCTCTACTAATAATATTAGACTGGAACCAAAATACATCAAAGTCATGAGAGGACGAGCTACCGTTGAATTGACGTTTAATGATTTGGCACTTATGGAAGAATGGTTGATATCAAATCATTTAGATACGAATTCAGATGGATTACCTGCAACACTGATGCATGAAGAACCAACGCTCACTACTACAAATAGTCTTCTCATTTGTAGAACAGTATGTGGTGTTTCGCTAACATTTTGTTTAAAAGAAACCGATTGGCTGTTATAATGATTGCATACTAAGTAGATATGAGCGAATATTGATGGTTCAGGTATAAATCTATCTAAGAAAACTTCGAAGGAGTAGATTAATTTTGGAGTATAAAATGACCAATTAAATAAAACGTATAGATTAGTTATAACTGGCACCGAAATGATTAGACTAATTCTAAAATTATGTTTCTGCAGTTTCGATTAGTAATTTTAGAATCCGACATCTACCATTAATCAAGGAACAAATGGAATAAACAAGCTAAACACTCCGTTACATGATATTGGAAATGTTGGAAGAAGAGATCGTCAAGTCAAGCAACAGAATTTCATAGTAGTCTCAAAAGCGTCAAAAATTCTTGAGAGTAAGTGATTTGTTTTGGACATTTATTTTAATATATAGTAGAAATTTGGTTCATTCTCACTGCAGCGCTATTTTTTTATTTCGAGTGATTTTCAGGGCATTCTTCCCGGCAAACTGATGAGTCAAGTGAGACGAAAGTACCTGAAAAAACTAAAACAAGATTCCATTTATATCCTTCTAAAAATCGATTGCATTGCAAAGATTCATCTCAAAAGGAAAAGAATAACACAGAGAGTAGATCGGAGGAGAATACGATATTTGGTGTGTTGCACAGCTTTGATCAGACGCAGAATTACAAGTCTTCTGAATCACGTAGTCATTGGATATCTCTTAAAGATAAAAAGTCAGTGGATGGACAGGAAAAACAATATGTAGCTTCAACATCAAATATAAGTCTTTCTGAACATTATGGAGTCAGTAAATCTAAATCTCAAAGATTTTTATCAAGATATCGTGCCAATAAATCGTTGAAGTACAGGACTCTTCATCAATCAATCAAAAGACGCTACCAGTTTGGTCATTCAAGAGATGACCACAGAAGTTGATCGGTGGTAGGTAGATAAACTGCTTTTCTTCTTCAAGCGATCTTTTTTTCATATTAGATATATTAATATAGAATTTATCTCTCTCGACAATTACTGAAAGGCCGATTGCCTATTACGACGATTGCGTACTAAACAGGCATGTGGAATAATTTTTTATTATTAAATATCCTTACAAAACACATCGTTGAGAACATGTAGACGTTGCCTTCTAGTTTCCTCACTGGTAGTTTTTTTTTATTCGCCCTGATATTTCATTTTATTTTGTTTTGTTATAATCATACAAGATAAAAAGCAGAGGAGTGCAGTACCTATCTGCAATCAGTAATGATAAATTATTCAACTATAGATTTTTGAATTGTACTGTTTATTCATTCAAAAGATTTATTGCATACTTGTTTTGATTTATTTGCTGTTGAAGAAAGTATGGCTGTGTTTTATCATTTTTGTTTGTTTCTTGATTGTAACACTTCACTCCGCTCTTGTTTTTCTCTAAATTTCTTGAGATATAAAACAAAAATTTTAAGATTTAAAATTTTGCAGCGCTGCAAAGTTTGAATTTTTGTCAGTTGTGTGTAGATAAAGATGGAAAATTAGGCTATTTTCGTCACAACTGTATATACAGGAGAAATCACGAATTTATTAGTCACAAGACAGCTTGATCTACTTTCAAACAATGTATATATAATATAATTATTTTACTGCATGGTGGAATAATGTATATGTTATAGCAGATAGAGGGAAGTAGTGAGCAATATCAGGTTTCGTTCTGCAATATTAGTCAAGTTGATATAACGGCCAGTTCTTATAATTTAGCAAATTTTTGGATATTGAATCGCCACTCCTTTTCTAAGTGGAAAGAACAAGTGGATCTTGTAGATAGTTTAACTGCATCACCACTGACTGGCACTAATGAACATAGATGGAAAATACTTTTTACTGCTATACAGAACGAACTTCGACTTTATTGTACCTGCAATTCAGGACTTAATGATTGTATTTAAAAGGCAATGGAGACAGTCTGGAAGTGAAGTGGATAAAGTCTCTTCTTTTGCCTTCAGTATCTATACATGGATTAAATTTTTTGTTGCTCACTATATACGCATGATATCTGCAATATTTTCGATGCATTGCAGTAAAGGGCAAGTTACAATCACATTCTAGTACAACATTACAAATGAGACCTCTCAAGTGTTTCGAGGACAAGGCTTTATTCTGACTTTTCACCAACTGATATCAGTGATTTCTTTTCAAAGTAGTGTACAATCTGTACTTGCTGGAGATTATTCACTGATTTTCTCTAACTGCTACTCTTTGCAAATATCAAATTTTACGTAGATGAAATCCGTAACGGACCAATAATTTGTTCTGTAATCAGTCTATCATAATTTGTTAGCTTATTCCAAACCATATTCGCTGTGAATTTCAATGAAATCACAATTATACTGTTTATGACTTTAGGGAATCAATTATAACTCATAAAATTTCTTCATAAAGACTATTTGATGGAGAAAGTTCATAACGATTAAAAGGTGTTAGCTATCCATCCTAAAATTTCACAAAATGCATAGAACTCGAATGTTTAATGCTAGTGTAATGCACAAAATTGCTGGCTTTGACTGTTCCTCTGCATTTCATTTTATTGATTGCTTGATCTCGTTTTGAAACCAAGATTCAAAATGCGTATTGTGTCTACTGTCGAGAACTTCATTTTAGTTGGAAGAAGAAATCGTGTTCTCAATCGAAACTTCGAAAGATTTACCAGTTTCTGTACCTGCGAACTCATCTTATGGCAAGTTACCATTTTCTGCTAAATATGTATTAGCTTCTTTCATTAGTGTGTGTGTGCAATTATACTTGTAGTAACTAGTCTTCAGGCTCACTGTACCTTTAATTAATTAGTGAATACTCATCTTTATAGTACACAAATAAAAAATTTTGCTATCGTACTAAGCAACTAATGCATTGATATGAGGTATTATGTCGTTTTCTAAGCAATACATATTTCTTCAAGCACCATCTGATTACTGATCTAATGAAATCCTTACCGGACCAATAACCGAACATGTATAGCAACAATTTTTTCTTTTCATGTTAATGAAATAAAAACACTAGCCAATGTGATTATGATTTGTACCTGTATTACAGGCATCAAGAAAAAAAGGTTTATCAGCAGATGAAAAGCGGTCACGTATGTTGGAGCTATTTTACGAAAGCAATGAATTTTTTCAGGTACTTCAAAATTTTTTTGATGAAATTAAGGTAAGAAATGCAGTGCATTTTTTGTTTTCCTCGCGCGCACTAAGTTAAAAAGCTTGCATATAATGAACAGATAAGAATATACGATTCCACCTTTAATGAAAATGGAATCTTATATTCTGGCTATAGCTGTAGTTTAAGAGCTTTACAGCTTTACGATGGCTTTTTTCAGCTTCAAATATGTTATGCATAAAAATATTATATTGAGTAGCAGTTTGATTTCGTGAAGTTGAAAAGTCAATATTAATTTTATTAATAATTTGTTGGTATTAATTCGTTTCAAGGAATAGATTGAAAAAATATAAAATGGGTTTTTAAATGATACTGTAGAATACTAATAAAATCGAGAAAGCAAATTGCTAGAATATTGTGCAGAATATCCAACTGGTTTTAAAATGTATAGATGAAAGATCTCGAAAAAATCGCTCCAAAGCAAAAGGGAATTGTTCCACAATCAGTGAAAGAAGTAACGCAGATATTAGTTGATGAAGGCTTAGTTGAGTGTGAAAAGATTGGTACTTTTGTGTGCTATTGGGCTTTTCCATCACAGGCAACAATTATGGTATGTTTCTTTTTCTCCATCACTTCAGAATGTTTGCAAATTACATGCTTAAAAACTGTTCTTCAGTTTGTTTTCTATCAAGTACAAAGTATGATGACTCAAATGAGTGACATGTTTTGGGTGATCTTAGCTTGATGAGTTTGAATAATCCTTATAAATGGTTGATTAGTTGGCATGTCCAGGTGAAGATTGCATTATATACCCAAAGAAGAAAATATTGATTACACACGGTAATGTGCTAAAACTAAACGAAGTTTGTTATCCAAAACAAAGCATATCAACTTTGAACTTGTCATACAATCGATGCGTTTTATTCTTCTTGTCTGCCAAACATATTGTTACCTTTACTGTCCCTTGTTTTAGCGAAAGAGACAACTTGAAGAATTGGATGGACATATTTCAAATTTGGAAACTAAAGTGAATGAATTAAGAGACGAAATTGTGGTGGCAAAAAAAAAGAAAGAAGTAAGTTGCGATTTCTAACTTACTTCTTTTTCTCAATCACTTCAAAGTGTTTGCAAATTACATGCGTAAAAACTGTTCCTCTGTTTGTTTTCTATCAAGTAGGAACAATCATGACTCATGCTTTGGGTGATCTTAGTTTGATGAGTTTGATAGGTTCGACTAGTAGCTTGAGAAGCTCGAATAATCCATCAAAATGGCTGATTAGTTGGCATGTCCAGGTGAAGATAGCATTATAAATATATCCAAGCTTAGAGCGCTAATACAGTTTATCCCAAGCCACGGGAACATTTCAAAAGGAGTCAGTGCGGCTTTGAAATAATGTTGTTTCGGTGATTACATGTTAACTGGAACCTTACTGACTCGTATGGCTTGGCTAGAGAAACTATTTACGATTAGTAAACAAATTTTAAATTCCTCTGAATGCAAATGTTGTGCTTTTATCATGCAATTAATTTCATTCTTGTGTTATAGTTCAAATGGTGTTATTCTTCTTGCAGGTAACTGAAGAAAGAAAGCAGCTTGAAACCGAAATTCATGACTTAAAATTAAAGCACCAAGTACTGAAAGAAAAATTAGATAAGCTTAATGAGGAAGGTCCTGAAGCTATCCGGCACTTGGAAAGCGGCATTGCTAAAGCGCGTGATGATGCGAATCGATGGACGGGTAAAATCAGTCAATCTCGCATAAGATCGTTTTTTTCCTTTATTTGGAACTAAAACCATTTAGGGCTGATGACATTTTTTTGAGTATTTCATCATAGGTATCAAAATTTAATTTATAGTGTGCTTTTTAGTCCAGTACGAATATTTAATTATTGCTACGATTAATAATAAGAATTGATGTACTTGAGGTGCATTAATTTGACTTTTATTCAAATACTGCCTTTATTACTGAAGTTCATTTATTATTTTTATGAATGTTATTTCATCTTAAGGAGTACCTTTTTTTCTTCAGAAAATGTATTTGCGGCAAAAAAGTGGTGCAAAAAAAAATTTAACATGGAAGACAAATTATTGAACACGCAATTCCAAATACCTCCGGACCTTGATTATATGGATTAAAGTGACCGCTTACGTTAACTGATATTGTTTTCACTTCTCTTGCTCACCTGCAGCAATTTTTACGGAAGCGGAGAAAAATGCCGCATCGCAAATTGATGTATTTTCTGTCTCAAGTTTATATCCAGTGTTTCACTGAAATTCACTTCCGAAGCTAATGAGTAATAAAGTTCAAGTCGTTATTAATTTGCCATTCTTTGGGCAACTGCACTAGATTGAATTATGTAAATAAGAAACCAAAAATTGATCACCTCATAAAGTTTCAAGCAGGATAAAGGAGCACATTCCTTCCATGTTTTGATTACTAATCTTTCTCACTGCAAATTGCTAAATTTTGCAGAATGAAAGAAAATAAATCTAGAAATTATCACAGTGAGCGAATGCTATGTTTCCACCATGCCTCACACTTATCGTACCAAGTCATTACAGTTTTTATTGTACTAAAATACATATCACACTGCTTAAGGCAGCGAATACCATTCGAAAGATTCTGCTTCGTACAAAGAACTAAGACGTCTCATCCTCTGGTCAATGTATAAAATGTAATTCAGGCATAATAAAACTTCTAAGACATCATGCATTTTTTTTGACGTAATCTTTAAGACTGTCGTTTGAGGAGCGTAGCTTGAAATGAGTTATTTAGTTATTACTTCGAATTTAAATTAGGATTTCGGATCATAGATGCATCATGTCATTTGTATAAAGTTTTACCTGGTTACTTGCATGAAGTCTACTCAACCATTTTTCCAGAATTTATGTAAACTTAATTCTCTGGGAGAAATTGGAAAGATTGGGTGAGAGGATTCCTTTTCAGCAATATTTTTCATATTTCAAGTTTGCGCACACATTTGGAGCTGGTGAGTTCTAAGGTGAAATTTGAAGTCGTGAGGAAATTCGCTAGCAATGTTATTTAACTGATAGCAGTAGGCTGTACAGAGATCCGGATACGAGAATTTAGATACAAGCCAGCATACGTTATTTATATAGGTTGAACAAAGCTCGAAAAAACAAGTCAGCATGCGTCAGTGAAAGAAGTAAAATAAAGCTCAAGGAATTTAGTAGCTTGTGCAAATCGAAGTTCTTTCTAAATAAAGAAAAAAGCAGATCAAAAGTGAAAACGAAGTCGAATTTCACTGCTTTCACAATTTCATAACTATATAAGACAATTCAAAACCACCGGTTCACATTGTTAGAATGTAGTCAGCTCTGAGATCTATTGATTCATGAAAGTGTAAGGATGTTAAACTAGACTTAGCTCTACAATAGTTGAGGATAAAAGGGATGAAATACATGGTTAAATATGAACAAGTTTCCTAAAAGGATGATGAGTGATTGCTGATAAAGTTTCTTACACAACGATAGCAAATAAGAATAGTGAAGATCAAAAAATTCAAACACACAGAGCAATTTTTGTTGAGTGCGACCTTTTTTGCTCGGCATGCAAATCTCCAAAAAGCGATTCGAATGCATTCTTATAAGTTGCTGAATGCACACCTTTGGAATGATCAAGTTTGGTTGCACTTTTCCCACTCTGAAAAGTCATGGAAGCTATAAAGAAAGCAACTGTTCAAAAACCGATTTTCACAGAGAGCAAATTGTTACAATTACGCCATAATGTAATAAACATACAAATGCTAGTGATACTATTAATCACTATGTCAGAAAAGATATAGAGTAAGCTACAAAATTTTTCATTTCTGTACCAGAGAAATTTACAGAGACAAATAAGGAAACACTTTCTTTAAAAAGAATGAAAAAGAGAATTGGAACATGATAAGGTTACCCTTGGTCCACCAGAAGTGACAGTACTAGTAGTCCAGAAGAAAGAAGGCAATTTTTCTCCCTGTTGATATTTGTTCCAAAATCGGTACATATCAACCTTTAGCTATAAAAAAGAGTACTTCAGAGTCAAGGAGCAGAATCAAATCATGTAATAACTAATCTGATTATACAGAGCATTCCGTAAAAACTCACGTCAGCAATCCGTTCGTTAATATGAAATATGTTGGAGACATAATTCCCCTTGTCAAAATCTTGCTTTGATTTCGGCTGAGTGATATCAATAACATATGGAATTTGACAGAATCGTAAATCCTAAAAACTAATACACAGCTTGTGAAAAAAACAACACTACATCACGATAACAGTGAAAAGCTAACCTCTAAGATACCTTCCGCTCGTTTACACAGTGCATCTAAGTCATTTTTTTCAGGACTCTGAGTTGAGAGCAATGTTAAAGGACCACATATTTCAGACGCAATAGTGATTGGAAGGAAGCCACTTAACAGCCGCATTCTTTCCTTTGCCTATAAGAACTCAAAACAGACCAGTTATGTATCGCTCATATTTAGATTCCTTCAGTAATTTTTTGTCGACTCGCTCATTACTGAGCTAAGTTGATGGCAAAAATGATGATGAATCAAAATGATTATGAATAATGAAATACTACTGATCTGGAAGTAAGCAGTCGTATAGCATATGGCCGTGCTGTACAAAAGATAACAAATTAAACGCATGCAAGAAAAGAAAAATTATGAAGTCATACTTTCAATCGTCGAATGATCTGATGAGCAGATTCCAAAGCCTGTTTTGTATCTGTCAATTCATATTCCAAAAATTCCACTTCATTAACCTGCTCCGAAATTGACAAAGTAGACTCAGTTGGTGTACTTGGTGAAAATAGTGGATGCGTTTTTGAACGAATTATCGATCCATTTAAAGACTGAAGCTGCTTAACACATAACCTCAGAACATGCCAATGAAAAACTACAATAATATATTAGATACACCGAAACTCAAAAAATCTAGACTATCCCAAATTAGAAGAATCTGCGACTGAATATTTTTCAAATGAGTGTTCGTACAAGTTTTTAAACTAATTTATTTCATTCCTCTTGAAAAATGATCACAAAATAATCTTTGTCGTTCCTCTACATTACAGTAAAGTCAAATAATAGAAAATTGAAAAAGTTACGACAGATGAAAAGTAGTTATGCATGCTTGTTTTTTGCTTAATTCAAATTATAAAGCAACCAATCCTTGTATGGACAGATGCTAATCGTCAATAAAAGTTCGATTATATTGAAGAAATTTATATGATGGCAAAAAAATCTTTGTGAATCTTTATTAAGATCAAATACATACATTCAATAATACTTTTTTACTGATCGTTTTAGCACGGTTTCGTAGATCAACACTATCGTTTTCACAAAGTTCGACTTCACGCTGCAATGTTTCCAGAGTATCATCATATTCTCTGAAAATAAAAATAATCTCAATAAGAAACTATTTCACAAATTTTTTCCTGAATCCATTTAAAAAACAAATCTCATGCAGGCACTATCAAGATTTCAAAAATATACAATTAAAAAAGCTGGTTTATAAAAACGTAAAATGATCAGGAGTAAAAAAATTGCAAGATATTTCTTGCATTTGGAACAAATTTATTTTAAAAATTTCTAAATATGAAATAGAGAACTGGACAAAAATGTTAGAGATACAATAAAAAAGCGTAGACCAAGAAAAAAATTATAAAAAAGATCGAGCAGAAATAGAATCCTTATGCAACAACGATAGAGAATGAAAAATTATAAACAATAATTTTCAATTCGATCCCACATCAAATTTTACCTGAATGGAGTTTTTATTTATGACTTTTCAAAATTAGAGTTTCGCAATTGGTAACACTAAACCTATCTTGACTGAAATATCATGTATTAAATTAACATATTTCCCACTTCTTTGTCTTCTTCAATTGATCACGCAATGCTTCATTCTGATGGTACAATTTTTGAATTTCATTTTCATCAATTTTTTCCATCGACTCTATTTTCTTCTCAGCCATTTCAAGACGCAACTAAAAATATCATATAAATTTGAACTTTTACTGAATTAAGCCACAAAAGTCGATCAATATTTGATATTAATTAACAAATAAGACAACGAATAGTATTTTTCAAAACTCAATAATAATTCCAGAAAAAAACATTCTTTCGATTTATATTTCAACAAAGAATCTAACATTAACAACATGAATTAACAAAGTATGTTGGTCGAGCAAAAATAAAAAATGATACTATGAAGGACAAAAAAACGCACTTTGTAGTTGCCAATATCAACTAGCTTCGCCCGAAGAGCCAATTTCAAATCAGCAATTTCGTTTTCTTTTTTTTCTAGATTCCAAAGAAGTTTTTCTGTTTCCAAAACATCCTGCTTGCGTGCGTTTGCTCGTTCCATTAATGATGAACGTGCCAAAAAAGTATTCTGAAAGGAATTTGTTAGGCATATTTGAAACTGATAATCAGACAAAAAATGTTTCAGATACTGTAAAAAAAACATGAAACAAAAATAAAAATTTTTTATATCCTAGAGAATCTAATCGGTTAATTACGATGTAAAAAAGCAGATTAAAGAATCGGAATCAGAAAAAAACAAAAACAACCGAAAACCTGAGGAATGAGATGAATATTACTGAACACATCAAAACTTTTTTTTTATGGGTTAAGAATGCTAAAGCAATGAGAACTTCATTACATTGGTACCATAAGAGAGTGATTTAATTTTAATTATTAACAGGCTACAAAAGACGCATTTTTTTCAAACAAACCTCATACACTAAATCATCTAATTGTTCCTTCTCAAAGTTATCAATAAGGTGTAAGATAACCTTCTGTATAGTTTCCAAATATCCACTGAAAAGTATAGATGCTCTAAACATCAATGAATTGAAAAAAGATAAATAGAACATAATTTAATAAATGTCATATATTAATCCAGCACATTTTTAAACAGTAAAAAATTAACAAGAATGCATGGTAACAAAAATGCTAAATCAAACTCACTTCATGACCTGTTTAATGTCTGTGCCATTTAGGGAACCATACTCTTTCTCTACTGAATATAAAAAAGCTTCTAGAATGCGACTCTCTTCCAGACTGCCAACTTCTACATCATTATAAATGAAATGCTTTCTGTATACAAACTTAATTAACTAATTGATTTGCAGTGTCGAGTTTTAAAACATAATCAAGTTCTTTTAATTAAAAATCAAGCTTCTTTAAAAAACTTTTTTAACTGAAAGCAAACCTGCAACAGCACTAAGTTGAATATGTGTAATGGAGCATACATTGTCGAGTACTGAAGCCACTTTACGGAATGTTTCATTCCATGTAATTAAATGACTTCCTAACTACAAAAAAAAACCCCGCTAAGTGAATAGAAAAAAAAAATCATTTACTGGTAAGGTCTATAAAATCCACTAACTTCTTCAGTCATTACTAAGCCCTTTTCAGTGGATAAGAAGTTTTTCAGGCGTATGCACAATTGCTCACTTTTTACCACCCATGCCAATATTTCCTCCATATACTCAACAATGCTACTTCTGATAACTTGTGCCTGTAGTAAATGCTCGTTAATATAGAGAGAAAACTTATGCAAATAACTTTGTGATTGATTTTATCAACATGGCAGAAAAGAACAGAAATACAGACATGAAAACTAACGGAAATGAAAAAAATGATACGCTGAGTGTTAATCTTCACCCAAGATAGACCTTCAGAAAATTGAACACAAGTATCTAGAACCATTTGTTTCGCATCATACCATTCGGAAGATAAATGCACAGACAAGATATTCTGTAAAAGATGAAAGCTAACCAAAGAAATAATCCTAGATGAATCAACTAAATTTCCATTATTACTGCCGACGAATATTCGTTCTATTATACGAACAGGATAACAACTATTGTGGTTTTGATCAACATACTAAATAGCAATTAAACACAGGATCAATTATTGGCACTTACTACACTAAGGTAGAATAATGTCAACTGAATGTGAAGATGTTGAATAGAAGGAATAAACAAGAAGATTAGAAAAAATAAGCAGGCAAATTCATATGAATTCATATTATAATAGTAACGCTGACTTCAGATAAAAAGAGATGAATAAATGCGGTGAATTTATTGATATCAGAATCGAAAAAAATAATGTAAAAGTGAAAATTAAGTGAAATCGGCATAACATCAATAAATTGGAATTCAAGATGAATCAACACACTCAAATCTTAATGATTAGCTTCCTCTGTTAAGAAAATATAGATGAAAGATGATGTCAAAAACTCTAAATTGTTTCAAATTAATGCTGACAAAGAACAGAAATTAGAGAGAAATGTCCCTATGCAGGTCATTTGTTGATGCTCAAGTCTGAAATTAACTAACATTGTATGCCTCTCATCTCTAAGGTTTTATTGTTAGTAAACAGGAACCTCAAAATATCTGATTGCTTGATCAATACCGTCAGTTGGAGTATTTTCATCAAACTTATCACTTTTCAACAAATCAATGTATTCGTCGATTATTCGTTCTTCTTTAGCAAATTCGGTTTGAAGTTGAGCTAACCGTAATAAACGTTCTACAGAACACTGGCGAACAATACTAAAAAAGGCCCCTAATTTTTCTGACTTCCCAAATGTGTGCTATTATTTACTTACACATTAATACTAAGTATAAAGATAGGACTGAACTAAGGCTTTAAACTCAATCAAATAAGAAAGATAGGCAACTGATGCTAGCTTCAATAAAAAGGATTAAGTACAAATTTCTTTATGAATATAAGAGTTCGAACTTGATCTGAAACTAGTTTTTAACCTTTCACATTTTCGAACCACTCCTCCGAGACCGCTCAACAAAAACATAAATTTTGCACAGTGAGCCCACTGCTCCGCTTTGTGACTTTGAGTAACATGCTCACATCGCATTCCACCGGGTACAAGTGGATACTGTTAACGTTTCAATTTTAAAATTATTTTCATGCTCATGAGAAATCATTTTAAAAATTTTACAGCAAAAATATTCATCAAAATTGTGTTATAACACGGTTAATAAAGAGCAATACTTTATGATTTAATAATTTTTTCAATAACTGGGCCTTAGCTGGAAGTCGAGATAAGCGTACAGTCAACAAAACTGCATCAGCATCTCCTGAAAAAAAGTCATTAAGAACTCAAGAAATGAAAAGAGAAATTAATATTACCTAACCTCCATGTTTCGCAAAATTATCCGGCAAAAATGCTCTGAGGTAATTCGACAATTCAATTTCATATTTCAGCTCAAGAGCACACACTTCTGCATGCACAATCTGAAAATCTGCTCAAGCCATCACTAAAGTCAATATAAAATATACATCATTATTGCAGTAAGAAAGTTTCTGAAACACAAGATATTCACTTCAGCAAATGTTCGAGAAATCGATGTCATATGAAAACTGTGCTCCGCCATTGCATTACAAATTTCCTTCATTTTTACTTCTTCTTCCAATCTGAAGATCTAAAAAACGAAAAACCAAGTTTCAGAGACTGATCTGAAAAGCACAAAGCTGAATGAGAAATTTCGGAAACAGATATAGACGATTTCTTTTAAGAGATCAATCATAAAAAATATTGAAGACAATAGCCAGTTTCTTGAATTTTTTATCATTCTCTGTTATTTTTTTTTTATGAAATAGAGAGACGCTTTGAGAAGCAGATGTATACCATGATAATTAGCAGTATAACAAAGTCATAATTCGTGATGTTTCAGACACTAAATGATATACTATCAACTAATCAAACAATATTTTACCCAAAAAACTTACTTCATCTTGTTTCTCTTGAATTTCTTCATTGAGCTCAGCAATTTTGCGACGAAATTTTGTGATTACTTCTTCATACTTATCCACTTCTTTACCATGCATTTTCATTTGTATCAGAAGCTGAACTCAAGCGTACATAACCAATGAGTTAATTATTGAATTTATAAAATAAAATCACGAAATTGAAAAAAATACATTTTCTAAATGAATAACTCATTGTTATATAACATACACCACTGATTTGATTGTTTGCCACATCAATTTCTTTCTTCAATTCCTTTTCTGTTTCTTTCTGCGATTCGAGAATTTCCTCATCCATTGTTCTGATTGCTTCATAATCTTCTACCGTCTCTTCTAATTCGCTGCAATTACTTTGCATACTTTTGTTGTTTCCGATTCTTTTTCACTAATCACAAATTTAGAAAATGGTCACGAACAAATATCAGATTCATGTACAAGGTTAACATCATTAATTGATGGAACTAACTTCAAATGTTTTGTCACCATGTAAAACTATCCTTAACATAGTCAGAAGTCATTTCTCCCACCCCTCCAAAAAAAGGAAAAAAAAAACTGGAAAACACGAGGTATTCCATTATTTACTGAGGTTTATGCAACGAAGTCACAGACTATGAATAATGGGGTACAATAAGAAGAGATCTTTTCAAACCTTATTTTTTTCTCTAAATCTACACTTTTTTCAGTCAACATCTCGATAATTTGCTCACTATATGCCGTTGCTTCAATCTAAAAAAAATGCAATTTAGAGTGAGCTGAGATTAGCGTTACAACCACCAAACTAATACACAACAATTTTGAGCACAATTCTATGATCCAGAAACGGAAATGTTATAGTAAAAGCGATAAGTGCAATTGTCATCAAAATTAGTATGCTGGAACTCAAAATGAACCAGAAACTGCATTTATCTCTGAGTTCTAACAAAGTAAAAATGAATTACAATAGTTTGCATGCACACCTACCCGTTCGTTCAAGTTCAACAACTGCAACAAAGTTCAGTAATATTCCAGATACTGCTTGAGAGCAGTTAAAAAAGTTTAAAATTAAACAAATAACTAAAATGCTAGATATTACTATGAATTTCCAAAATAATACTAACCTGATTATTTAGCATAACTATAGTCTGTTCTGCTTTTGCCAAATTATTTTTTAAAATTTCACAAATTTTAACCAATGCAGAAGATTCATTGCTCAATGTTTCATTTCTTTGAACCAGTTTCCGTTTGTCTTCAGTTAACAGTCCAGAGATATCTCTTAATCTTAACAACAGACGCATGTAATATCATCTAAAGAGACATGGCACTCAAAATGCATTAATCAATGAAGATCCATGTTTCTAAATAGCAAAGAAGATAGGTAACGAGTCCAAAAAAAGATATGGAACATCAGAGTATGGCAGAATTACCTGACTACAGCTTCGCGCAATTTCTCGTTTTGATATTCCAGCTGTTTCTGCATTATTCCATTATCCTATTGTAAGGATTCTATTGTTAGTACCAATGCAAAACAATAAAATAATTCATGAAAAATGATATAGAGCGAAACATGCAAAAAAATATCATTAAAAGTTTAGAAAAAAAAATCTCAACACTAATACAATGTAAGCAAGCAATTATGAAAAGTGTATGTTAACTTTTTTCCAAGTCGTCTAATAAAAAATTATTACTGACTGAAAGTTAGCAAACATTACTGCGTTGAAAACTAATAAATGAAACTGAGTGGAAGGAATTTAACATAAAAAAAATACAAGACATTAAAAAAATACAAAGTTTACTTGCACTAAATCAGTTCCTGCTTTGTCCAGTTTACTGCGCAATACTCCTAATTCTACTTCCAGCTCTTGCACATGTTGCTTTTCTATATCAAGCTCTGTCTTTAAAAAGGTTTCCCTTGAGCACCAATTAAAAATTAGTATTCCAGAACTCACATTTCAATTTCAACTTCATATAAAGCTTACAAGAAACGACTCACTGATGAACAAACCTGCAAAAGTTCTGCCTTTTCCTCTGCCATCTCTTTTTCAACTGTTACTAGTTCAAGTCGCTCTTCAATTTCTGATAACCAAGCAAGCTTTTCCTGACCCAGTTTAGCAAACGCATTCAACTCCTGCACGTCAGAATATGATTTACACAAAGACTAATTGAGAACAGGAAGTATAAAAATCAGCATAAAAATTTCTTACATTTGTAGTAAACACATTTTTATAAAATATTTTCATGGAAACTGTGTTCTACGAATCTTATGAATATGAAGCAAAAGGTAAAATTTATTTGCAAGAGAACATGTAATGTGTCAGCCTTAAAAAATTAACCAAAAATTTCATTCACAATTTTATCATAAAATGGTCGAATCAATTGACAATCATCTCTAATATTGTACGAAATTATTGCTGAAACTAAATGATCTAATTATGAATTCAAATATGTTTTATCATCCTTTGGTTAACATCTTTGAATGTACCAGCAAGTTTCAATTAGCCAGGAGGTAAATTACTGTGATAAACTGATACTATGATTCAAAATTTGGACAGAAAAAACATTGCGATTAAAAAAGTAACATATTACAACCATCAATTTTCAAATTACCACCAAAAAATCATGTCAAAACATTGAAAGTTAACACCTTTTCTTTTTTTTGCAATTGACGATACAATTTGGTATTGTTTTCAACCAACTGAATTTTAAATTCCCGTAATGATTTCAATTCAGCAAGATCTCTTTCATATTCGGTAAGCTTTATATAATCGTTTTTCCGCTTCTGCCTTCAAACCATCATATGACTTCATGCATTTTATTGATGAAACAATAGAGTATTTCTTTTTAACGAATTCAGAATAGTTCTGGTAAAAGCAATGGTCAAAAATTTTTAAGTCGACTTTAGTCATGAAATGACCGTGAACATTCTCACAATTTTAAATTCGGAAGAAAAATAAAGTTCAAAATGCTTGAAATATGATTCTAACTTAATTATGATTGAATCTCACATATATTTTGTTCAGTGAAAGAATTTATGTGTGATCTTTTTATCAATGAGGAACTATTCTCGCTTTAAATGAAATAATTATGGACACGAAATTTTACTGTAAACTATGCAGTTTGTCCACCAAGTCTTTGTTTTCAATACGAAGCAACTCGACATCATTCTTATTTTGGTCCATCAAATACAGTATTAGAAATGAAAGATCGAACTGAAAGCAGGCAAATTAATAAAGAATAGAGTCCATTTTTGTAAACACTTATATATTTCTATAGAAAATTATAAAAGTTAAATAGGATTTCTGATAATCAAAATCAGAAGACTCGAGTGATGAATAATTCAATTCTTCCGAAAAAATGGTGAAGGCTAAATATAAGTGACTGAAAACAAGTCATTAATATATCGGTGTAAATAAAACCACTGCATCACAAATCCTAAAATAACATACTATACTAGGTTCTTTCTGATGTGAACAAGAACTTTAGTGATATGATTAAAGGAAAAGAATGTGTCCAGAAATTAAACACCATCAGTTCATGAGAAAGTCAAAATTAACAGGCGCATTAATGGATGAAAGAAGGATCAATTTCATGAATTTAACTATACAGAGAAGACAAAATTATATAATCTAAGCTTCTCGTAATGCGATATGCAAAAAGAAGTTAAAATAATTGAATGAAAGAGGCGACTACAATGCACATTATAGTGGCAGTAATAATTTACAGTAATAATTATTACTTCTAATCTTAAAAATCATTGAACAATGCAATGAAGAAGAGAAATGGACTCCTTAACTTCTTAAGCCAACCACGTAAGAGAGCACATACGAAAGTTTCAGTCAAGAGCATGATGCGGAAGCCAAATGCTTGCATGTTTATTAAGATCACACGCTAGAAATACAAAAACACGTTAACTTTACATATTGCTGCTGAGTACTTTTTTGACGGACCGTATTACTTTCTCGGAATTTTTCGTCAGTTTAGGTTACTCAAAGTTATAAAAATAATGATTTTATCGTCTTGAATTTGAGTCGATAGTTAGGCAGGAATGTACTTGAAGTACTGGCAAAGTGCAGGTGCCATACTAATTCGTCGTTAATCCTGCACAAGAGTTGTCACGTAAATTAAAATTTGCATCATGACATAATTTCTTTATTCATATGTACATAATGAAATCTGTCATAGAGATTTTTAAAATGCTGGTGTAATGGGTTAAATGCAATAACGACGCTTGCGAGTTGTTATATCCACAAAAAGTGTATTTATACTTGCCAAACATCTTCAGTAAAGACTAATTTGTTCTAAGAGTACTTCGGTTTAAACTTCATTTCTATAATTTTCATATATTTAGACAATCACAGTGTTGACACATGATGGTTTCATATTTCATTTTTCAAAAGCTATGTTTACTAACATCTATTATTGCTTATATTTATAAGTTATTTAATTCATAATGATTCCAAATTATGAATTTATGGATAACAATTCGTATCATTGCGAACAATTCGTTTTTGACTTGCTCATATATACATTATCTTTTCTGTACTTCGATAATTTCATTAGGCTACATGTTTTATATGCATTTTTCATGTTGATATTTTCATCTGAAATTTATCAAGGAGTTTGAACAGCCAGTTGCAAGCACGAGTATTTATTGGCTTGGAGGTGGTCTCTCAACTGCCTCCTGACTATTGTTAATATGAACAATCTAAACTCAGTCCAGGTTTGTATTTCATTGTCCATAGAGGCCTAATTTCTACAGTTTTGTATTTCATAAGAATGTAAAGCTTCTTCAGCTATCGTCTAAAAGACGTTGCAGGAGCAGTATCAGTGATGGCATACAATTATGTAGTGTTCCTAATCTGTTCTGCTTGCTAATGAACATACAATGTTAGCTTATAATCGTTCGGAACTTCCAGAACCCTGCTCGATCGACGAGTTCAGCTGTTGTAGCTAATACTCAAAATCCTTTCTATAACCAGCAAATGCTCCTTCAGCAACAGTATATGCAAATACCAACACTTTATGGTAGCCAGCAAGCAGGAGGAATTGTATGTTTTAAATTTTAAACTGAGAATAATTTATAAACTGTTAATTTATGAATGAAGTGATTAGCAAATAAAAACGCACCTTCAAGATGAATTGTGGTCATTTCTCGGAACATAAGTTAAATCAAAATTTTGTATTTCAAGATTATTCTCATCGATGTTGTTTCTTATTATTTGTAATGTGATTCAACTTGGAGACAAATTGAACTAGCTATATAACATTTCCAGCATTAATTTTTCAATAACTGAGAGAATTTTGTAGATGCTTCAACAGCATCCCATGGATATTCAGGCATTTCAACAGCAGCAGCAACTATTGCAAGTTATGCAGCAACAGCAGCAACACCAACAAGCACTGCAGAGTCACCAGCGAAGTTTAGGTTTACATGAATCACAAGTATGTCGTACAGTTCATGATTTTTGGAAACTTTCAAACGCAGTATTATTTTTAATAAGTTTGATGAAACATTTCGTGATTTATTCATTTCTAGATAGTATTAATAAATGGAGTTTTTTAGTTGGATTATGTCTTTCAAAATCATAATAATTTTTTACATCTAATAATCCTTTCTCACCATAAAGACTCTGGCACAACATCAAGCTGTTCTTCAACAACATCATTACCAACGAGCTCTGCAGCAAGCGGCTCAACAGCAACAAGTTCGTACCTTATTTTTGAGTTTGTTCTAAAGAGTGTTATTTAAAATTCGGAAGAGTTGGTACACGAGAACGTTTGTATTGTTTTTCATGACTTAGTCATTTTTAAAAGTATTGACCGAGATGGTTTTTGGAGTTTAATTATGTCTCTTTTTTATGATTACCATAATAATAAAAATGAATGAGTCTAGTTCTTTTTTTTTTTTGCTTTAAATACGTGGTCCTTTTGAGCAACAACGGCAGTTGGAACAGCAGCGTCTTTTAGAGCAACAGCAACGGCAACTTGATTTAATGCATCAGGAGCGTGAAGCGGCTCTTTTAAAGCAGCAACAAGATGAAGTGGGTCTTGATTACTGAAGTTTTGATTAGGATTTTAATATCAATTGAATTGTTATCGGGATGTCGCATTTTAGCTATTTCGTCAAAAGTCCGAAGCTCTGGCGCGTCAACAGCAGGAGGAACTGACTCGGTTGAAGCAGGAAGAACTTCGAAAAATGTCGTATCTGAAAGAGCAGCAACTCAAACAACAGCGAGAAAAAAGAATGCAGCAGGAGCAGCAGCGAGTATTGGAGGAGCGAAAGAGGCAGGTGAGCAGTTTTTTTAATGTGCTTTTGTAAAGATCTTCAGTTTAATTATTATAAAATCAGCTTATTTTTCGCTTTATAATTAGTGTAGTGGAATTAACTCTGAAAGTTATAAATTTTTTATAATCTTCAGTCGTATTTTATCGCTACAGAAATTTTGAGCTACTTTGAATGTCAAAAATTATTCACTTTGAAAATTTTCATTCTCTTATGCAGGAGGAAGTTCGTAAATGTGAAGAACAACGTAAAGAAATGGAGAAAGTACGTGCTATACGAGAGCAGCAACATCGGAAACAGCGTGAAGCACGTGAAGCTTTCATAGTGATGAAAGAGAAGGCAGACAGTTTTCCCATCCCTTTAAATCTAGCCGGTTGTCATACGCTGACTAAACGTGCGGTTCAATTCAGTGTATATTGAACAAAGTTGCATTAAATCATTGAATAATATTTCGTATCATTTTTATAACGCTTCCATTTTCACTTTCTCCCTAAATTACCTTTTATTTCAATTGCTAATAAGATCCGCATTCCAATTTTTAATCACATCGCTTTTTAATTTATGGAAAAAATAAGTTGCAGTGGTTAATCATTTACCGTTTCCATCACCTTACTTGCCTCATACGAAACATCTTAAATGTGAAATGATCGGTGTACCACAAGTTGGACCTACGGAAAAGAATGTTTTGGCTCAAGTAGTTGAAGCTTTCTCACAAACCGATACGTCTGATGTGTTTGTTTCTCTCTACAAATGACCATATTATATATACTTCTAGAAACAAACTTAACTTTTGTGAAGAAGCAAGCCATTTGATTAATCTTAGCACTTGTGACTATACATAAGATACTAAATAGATGAATTTTGTTACAAATTTTAATTGAGCTACTCAAAATACTCTGAAAGTGCGCAGTCAGAAAGACTGAGATCCTATAATTAATTTTCTGAAAGTTATTCATAGTTGGACTTGCAGTTCGTTTTCAGAGTTTTGAAGCATGAAGACAGCGAGACGAGCAATTTTGATTGTGAAGGTGCTCCATGTATCGTACGTGAATTGTATGAAATCAATCATCAGGTTTGAAGATATGTAGTGAGCTTAGTAAATGTATTGTTTCTTGTCATGAAACTTCTAGGATTGATGCATATTAGAATTTTTAGCTGATATAAATACCATGTTCTTTTAATTTCTGAAATTCAACTTTGCCATTGACTGGTAACAAATTATTTTACAAATCTTTTAGTTCAAAAAGACTTATTAAGTACTCTATATAGGGAGTCATCTGATATTCACTGATCTTGGTAATTAAGTGTTCAGTGGAAAAAAATCGCAGTTAATTACAGGCATTTGATGTGAGTAATACTCAAAATGTCGGGGCGCCCGAAATCGTAAAGGAAGTTGAAGCTAGGTCTTCAATAGAAACTATGACGATTGCAGCGACTGAAGTATGCGTACTGATGTCTTTTTTTTGTTAAAATTGGCTAAAGACTGTCATTTTGTTATGACGTCAACTCATTTAATAATTTATTTCAAACTATCATTATCATTTTGGGAAGCGGAATCAACCGAAAATCACGAGCAGGTTATTCTTCTGGAAGAACATACTTCGGAAAAAAATTCTCTCACTGAAGATGAGTCGCAGAATGTGGCAACATCGAGCATTTCTGAGGCATACAAGCCATCGTTTTCGGATGCATCCAATTTAAGTTCTTTGCAAGAAGATGAACAAGTGCAATTGCGTCGTCAGATCGTCTCTTTGGGCAAACAACCAAAGGCTCAACAAGTCCGCAAGAAAAAAGACATGGTTCTTCTTCATATGTTGTATTTGTTTCTGTTCTTTGAAGTAACTAAGAAATTAATCGACTCGAGTTTGATATAACCTTACATTTATTTACGCAGTTTCGAAAACTGGTCAGTCTGCAATGAAATTAAATTTAATGTTTTTACTGTTTTTATCAGTTTTTATATTCTTTTCAGTCTTTATCTTCATTGATGTTACAGCTTAGTGCATTTAAAGCATTTATGACCTTTTTGACCCAAATCTTTCAGAAGTATTGACTGGTAAGTATACTTCAAATTTTTGAAAAGAAATGAAGTTATCATTTTTGTAATGAGTTTTATTGCAGGTTGAGTCTCTTTTTGACTCATTGACTGGATATTTTGATCCAAGTGAAGGCCGACGACGAAGACAGCGTACAAGAACATATGAGGAGGAACAGAACGAAAAGGTGCAATGGGATAATAATTTCAAGACTATATTTTATTAACTATTGTATACATAAATAAGATTTTTTTAATTATGCGGTTGTGAAAGAAGTTAGTATGTTTGTTTGAAATTGTACAAGATCTGTTGTAGATGCAAATGGAACTTATTGCACAGCTGGAGAAGGCTGAAGCTAACGGAAAAGATGAAAGTAATCATTTCTGCTTTCAAGATTTAATGTTATTAAGTTACAACACCTATTATTGTTATGTTTTTTTAAGAAGAGTCTGGAAAGACGGAGCATCGTCCAGACCATGTTGGAACATCTCAAGAAGGCTCCGTAAAGAATGATAGTAAACCGAAATTTTTTGAAACTCATAAGAAAAATCGTAAAAGAGTGAGAGAAAAATCATCTGATCAAGTGGAAAGACCGCCAACACCAACAGAAGGTTCATATCTTGTGAATTTTTAAACTGGAAAGAGTTTGCACAACTATATTTTTCCAGTATAATGGAACGATTGTTTGTTATAAGGCACTGTCATGCCCTTTCGATTGCAAACATCATTTTTTAGTCTAATTCCATTTTCCATGTTTTCTCATTAATCATGCAGCAAATACAAAATTTGTAGTAATTCAACAACGGGAATTAGAATGGAGGGAACGTCAGCGCAAACGACATGAAAAGCATAAGCGTCGGCAAAATGAATCAGAATCAGAATGTTGGAATAATGAAGGTTCGTATTTTTATTAGCCACTTATTCATTCGTATTCATAATGTTGGGAAGTCTGTCGTTGAAAAAATAAAGACCGGAGGATGATATGGTTAGGACACTTCAATTTACATTTTGGTTGGTTTTGTTTGAAGCAAGAGTGACTTCTGCTTAATTATTTGTTTTGCAGTAATGGCTGAAAAGGAATCGTACATCAAATTTACCACTATTATGGAGCAGATTTTTGAAGCTATTGATGAACAAGTTTTCATCCATTGTACAACTGGTTAGTGTTGCCCTTTTGAGTAAATTTGGAAAAGCTTTACCTAGTCTGCTTAGTGAAACGTGGTGATATCAGTTATACTACCTAATATTTTTTTGTCACCCATAAATTTAGTTGTTATTTGTTTGATTCATTCATTTTCTTATTCACTGCAACAAAATTTCAGGCGATACGGACGGTGGGGTCTCGCAGGATCTGCTAGATAAGGATCAGCTTGAAGAACTTCGGCAAGAGGCACAAAAATTAAAATCATGGAAAAAAATAAATAAAGTATCTACGGATAGTTTTTTTATATCTCTGAACTCTTGTAAAAACATGTTTTCAAAATGTATCACTTAACTTAGGTGTTAAACAGTGAAGGCGAACTAGAAAGGTTCTTAAACTTCAAAAAACAACATTATTTGGTTTATTAATGCAGTCAATCCATATGAAAACTTCTTAGTCTCATTTGTTCTCTTAGTTATCAGAAATTTATGCTTTAATACTTCAGATCAATCCAGAACGTTTAGTAAAACTTCTCAATATTCTGGAGAAAAATATAAGGAATGTGGTTGGCGTAGACGGAGAGCAATCACTCATTGCACTTTATAATGAGGTTATTCCAATTTAAATGTATTTCATAAACTAGCTCGAAATTTAATACTTAAAATCTAATTACATTGTTCCACTTTCTTCTGTTTAAAATCTTACTGATAAGTATCGTCTGGTGAAGGAAAAGCACATTCAAATCACAATTTAATCTTCCAAAACTTTGAAATCATTTTTAGTTTCGATCTCTTAAGATGAGTGAAACTTTTAATGCTCAATAGTTCAATTATTTTGTTATGATTTGCGCGGTCTTCGTTTGCTTCGATTTCTGACCTTATTTTTGACAATTATGGCATGAATTATTTGTGAGCACGTATCTTTCATTTGAATTATAATTTACAGGAAGATGAGGATGATTCAGGTGAAGTATATCATGAAGCATTTGGTGATCGCATAATGCGTGCTGCCGATGCGTCATGTACTGCGATGATCATTATGACGGCAACAAAAATGCCAAAACAAGTAAAAACAAAGTTGAATGTATCGTAGTATACTGCTTTTTGTTTCTAAATTACGAAAATCTCGTTAAAGACCACTTTCATTTTGGCTTTATAAAAAATGAATCTGATTACTCCAAGATATTTCTAAAATTCCTGCTCTCATCTTTACTTTTTACAGGTATTCATTGAGGACCCTATTGAACGTTCAATACAGCTTTGTGGGCAATTTCTTAACAACATTATTTATCCAGCATTAGACATTTCATGTCATTCGTCTAGTAAAGGAAAGAAGAACGGTTGGTCTCAGTAGAATAAACGTATCTCCGTAATGCTGGTCGTGTTATGGTTCATTCTGAAAGTTTTTAATAGATGGAAGCTAACTTTTCCAAATTTAGGACACTGTAAATTTTTAGTGGAGAATTTGAAAATTGATGAATGTGAAATTGAAATTCGAAATACTGGTCGTTCATTTCCTTACATCAAAATTTATATTTACAGAAGAAAGAAAAAGGAGAAAGTCTGTGAGCAGTGCAGAGCTGTGCATCGTCAAAAACATTTACACCCGTGTCACGGAACTTGTTGGATGTTTTGCTGAACTTGTGAGATATTTTTAAGCTGTTAAATAATAATTGGATGATTTTTTTTGTTTATTGGTAATTTCGGCAAAGATTTTATACGTTCATAGTGTCATATAAGTTTAATTTTTGGGATTCATTTTGAATAGTGTTTGATTGTGAGCTCAAGTTATGGAAATTTACTCAGCACTATCAATTTCAAAAGCATTGAATGATTGTTTTAGCTAGAAAAATTATTCTAGCATCAATCCAATTGGATGCATCCTTTTTAAACCATTAGAGGTTTAAGAGGAAAATTTCATGTTCTTCATAAATTTTAGGTTCGTACCCAATGTTTAACAGACACTGCTGTCCTACAGTTGTGTTCACTAGGATCAGGGCCATTCTTTGTTGATAATGTCGGTGAACTGCAAATGCAATCTATCAAACTTCTTTCAGCAATCTTTTCGCGTTACGAAAATTTCCGTAAAAATATTATTCAGGTCAGTAAGCATTGTTTTTCGATTCATCTATATAAGTGTTCGAATCTTTGTTTTCTTGTTGGTTTGATGAAAATCGCACTTTTTAATATCCAATTTTAAGGATTTGCTTAATTCGGTTCATCGGCTCTCGCCGACAAAGACTTCGAAGAATAGTTATCGTATGACCGCTGATGAATGGATCAGTAACATGTCTGTTCTAATTATGCAGCTTGTGCAGAGCGTTGTAAAGGTGAAATCTTCGTTTCTCTTTACATATAGATTTAATTTTCTGCAGGTATTTTGTATTAGTAGGTAAAATGTAGCCACAAAGGAACTGCAGATTTCTAAATATTATTTGGTTCGTAATTAAATACTTTTAAACTCTACACCTCTACTCGTTAAATATCAATTTACAGTCTAATATGTTTAAAGTGATTTATCTCTTGGTTCTATTTAAAAGGTTCCACGACGGCGTCGGTCTGAAGAGTCTTGTGATATCGATGAAGAAACAGCAGTTGATGATATTATTGTCAAGGATTCTGTAGTCGATTGCCAAAAAATGGCGTCTTTGTTTCTTAGTGGATTTCTTGCAAAGTAGATTTTGCTCATAATGCCTTTATCTCCTGATTGAATTGAGTTACCGAAATGATAAATTTTTGGTAATATGTATCACCTTCCTAAAATTCAGTTGGCAACACTATTGTAATATAATGCTTTTCTGTATTTTGCGATCTCTTTGTTTATTTTCAATTTTACCATATTAGATTGGTTTGATTCAGATGTACAGCCAAATCAGAAGAAGATTATCGACGCTTATTTGACCAGTTTCTTCATGATTTGCTCACTGCTCTTTACAAACCCGAGTGGCCTGCAGCAGAGATGCTTTTGGCATTATTAGGAAATGTTCTAGTTACTTTTTATCGCTCAAAGCATGTTGATATGTCATTAAGGATTGCCAGGTGGAAATTCATGTTTCATTCGTTGAATTGCTATTTTGAAAGTTCTAATTTCGTATAGCCTGTGCTGAGCCTATAAAGGCTTTCAGTAAAAATGATTTTAAAAATGTGGCATTTTTCTTTTTGTATGCTTTATAACTCAAATTTTTGTTTCAAAATTATATCAAATTTTCAGCTTAGATTATTTGGGTACTGTAACTGCTTCCCTTCGTAGAGATATATACCAAGTTGTTTCCGATACTGGACGATTGGACGCAGTTGTTAAAACACTTCTATATGAAGAGCTTGAAGAAGGGGATCAGACCGGTGATGTCGATGCTATTGACATAAGTCATGTGAGCTTTTCATAATTATTTTGTTGTATGGCATTTAAATTCAGTACTTTCATGCATAATTTAGGTTTTATTAAATTTTTACAGATGTCACACATAGATAAGATGAAAAAAGTGCAACGAGCCTTGATTGATTACCTTGTTGACAAAAGAGGCGATGCTGATGTTTCTGTCGAGGTCTTGTATTTATCTTTTCGCTTTTTTTGAATTTCTCAAATGTTTTAATGTGTTTCAAGTTTCTTACATTTCAGTATGCAGTATTGTTTTATGTTGGTATTTGGTACAAAGATTTATATGATGAGGCAGAATCAACAAAACAAAAGCTGAAACAGATTATGAAAAATTCTGAAATTAGTGATAAGGATAAACGGAAATTCGAAAAAAAAGCAGCTAGAGTTCGTACATTGCTATTTCTTTAAACTCAAATATAAATTTGTCTTATTGCACCCCATCCATGTTTTTTCAGATCCTCGTTTTCACTTTTTTTCAAGTTTTTTTCTATTGTCAAACACAGCTCATCTTTCTTTCCATACAGTATGAAATAATGTTTTTTAACTTGAAAAAACAAGTTTAAAACAAATAGAATACATTATGTACCAATGAATTTGATAATTTTAGATCACTTCAAATTAATTATTGAATTAACAAGCTGAGAGCACAATTTTTTTAAAGAATTATCGCAAGTTCTGCAGATAATGTAAAGAATTATGTTCAGTTTCTCTGATTTTGTTCTATGCACTGCTTTCAGGTACTGGAAAGATGCCAGGCAATGAAGGTTTTCTTAATTAAAACTGCCGACAAGAAACATATGAAAAAGCGTGCAGAACAACTTGCGTAAATTTATGAATAATTATTTTATTTATTTGCTTGATTTCACTCAGATAACGAGAAAAGATTCTCAGTGTGTTTCATTAGCCTTTTGCACATTTTTCTGTACTGTGTTATGTTCTCAAACATTTAGTGTAATAATACTTAAGAGTCAGTTTTAGATAAGTATTTGAGCTATGTTTCAAAGTAAGTTATAACTTCCTTCATTTTTTTAAGGCGTACAGGTAACAGTTTGATGGACAGTGATGCTTTATGGCTTGTGAGATTCCTTGCTTCAACTCGTGAATACAATCAGTCCTTCTCCACGTACTTGAATCATGTTGGTATCATGTAAAGAAGTGTACACTACTTAAATATTGTTGTAGAGAACTAAAAATTCGTAAGAATTTATAGGGTTTTTTTTTTTCATTACCTAACTGTGTTTTTAGATTTTATATGGCATACATGCAGAACAAGCAGTAGGTTTAAGGACCAAAGCGATGAAATGCTTGACTTTGATTATTGAAGCAGATCACGCAGTTTTGAAAATTGTAAGTTCACGCATTTTACTGGAAAAATTTCAAAGCCTATTAGTGCTCACATACTTGCAAAACAGTAGGAAACTACAATAAAGCTATATTTTATTAGAGCTGTTCATTACATTGATATGGCTGTTATCTGCATTTTTTGCTGTAGTTAGTATTGCTATTTTCAATCACATGTATCCTAATATCCTTTTCAATTAATTAGTATTTCACGTTTGCAGCCAGAAGTTCGCAAAGCTGTACAAGCGAGGATGATGGATCCGAATGCAGCAGTTCGTGAAGCAACAATTGAATTGATTGGAAAATATTTAATTGCGAAACCTGAATACGTTCCGCAGTATTATCCAATATTAATTGAACGCATTAAGGTTATATTGAAGATAAAGTTGTGTCTAATGTTTAGTTACAGTCATTATGACAGTCAGTCAAGATCCTTGTTTTTCTATTAGACTTCTGTACAATTTTCATCAATATCAAGTTGTCGATCATCTAAAATTTCGCATTTATTATTTTCAGATACATTTCTTCAAGTATGGTTACTTTATTATCATTTTAAATCAGGATTCTGGTGTAGCAGTTCGAAAGCGTGTAATTCGGATAATCCGAGAAATTTGTGAGCAACAACCGGAATACGAAAAAGTGCCTGAAATGTTAGCACGAATTGTGCGTCGTATATGGGATGAGGAAGGAGTCAAAAAGTTAACCATTGATACCATGCAGAGTTTGCTCTTTCATCCTGCTCGAGAGCGTGATTCAGTTCAGTTGATTAAAAAAGTAATTCATGCTATGAATTAATCGAAATATTGAGTTGCAATAATTCTAATTTATTGTTCAGAACAAATTTGGCTCAATGCTTTGTTGTAATTACCGGTTAAGAGGAATGATTATGATCAGCATAGCTCTTTTTATCAACTTCGAAAACCTTTTTATTATGTTGCAGGTGATGACGCTAACCGATATGGTGCAGATATGTGTTAAAGATAATACTCTAGACTTTTTCGAACAGCTGCTTAATATTTTACTCAAAAGCAATGATCGAACGTTACTATTTGCTTCACGACAAATTGTAGATACATTGGTGGATAACGTCCTAATGCTAGATTCCAAAATGGCTGCTGGTAATTTGAAGTGCTTCTGAAACACGCTGAGATTTTCTCTGCGTTAAAGTTTATATAAATTTGGTCTTTCTTACATGATGTTCTTTTTGTCATTTGTGAATCATACTTCTCGCTCTTCCTTTTCAGGTGGCAATGTTACAGCAAACAGTAATGACGACAACACCATGAATTCAGCAGTAATACACAAAGAACATGAAGAACGTCTTCTAGCTTGCCTTTCAACTCTGTCTTTATTCAGCAAAGCTAGACCAGACTTGATGGTAAAACATGCCGAAACATTGCATCCGTATTTGTCAATGAACGTGAATGGACCTGCTGAGCAACAAGTCATAAATCAGGTGTTTTTTATAATAGCACTTCTAATAAAGTATTTGGTCGATTTATGTATGAAATACTAGACTTACATCTTTATTGTCTGGTATAATGCTTGTTGGAGGCATGTACTAAAGTCCATGGCAGAACCAGTTTAATACTTGACTTTCAAGACATTATTTTGTTACTATATCTTTTGAATTCGTGGGAAGATTATGATTTCCAATTACAAACAAATGGTTAAGGTCTATAATAGTCATGGATTTATCTCCGTAAGTTTGGTGAGTTGAAAGTTCGTCTTGACGACTTCGCAAGTTTCCTTCAATTGCCTTTTATGGGGCCATATATTTCAATATTTAGGTCATTAATATGCTAGAACGAGTGGTGCCATTGATGGATCATCCATCAGAATCGTTTCTCAAGACACTAGATGAGAGCTTATATCAACTTGTGAAAGATGGTGGCATGCGTATCATTGCTTCTTCTCTAGCTTGTAGTGCTGCTATTTATAATAAGTGGAAGAAACGAATACCAACCGTTATCCAAATATTTTTCAAATATTTGAGTAAGTTCTAATTTTTATGTATATTTTTGGTATGTAGATGAGATACCTATCGTTATACATTATTCAATAATTTATAGAATTTCTACATCAAACTAAAGAGGAAATTTTGCGTAAGCAAAGTTCTGGTATTCCACTGACTAAGAAGCCGATGGTATTAAGGTTTGTTTTTAATTGGTGATTCAGTCTAGTCGGTTTCCAGCTGTCTTCTTTTTCTAAATAGTATAAATGAGAAAGTTTTGATAATAGTAGTGATGTGTAATGGAGAAAAGATGGGGAGGAAAATTGGAACGTCGAGTTTTTCTATCATAAATTAGATAGTTCAAATAATATAACTTGCAAATACGGTAACATAAAGATAATAAAAATTGAAGGAAAAAAAGTCAAATAACGAATATAGCAAAAGACTGAATTTTAAAAATCATTTCCTAGTAAAAAATTTAAAATCGTACATTTTTTAATGCAGCAGATCGTTGATATCAATTAGGATTATGTCCCATGCAAGAAATCTACTTTGGTTTTTGGTCATGATGAATATCGTGACAGCGGAGTTCTGAACACACATTGGAAATTTATTTTGTAGTATATCTACTTATAGTCGTAAATTACTTTTAAATTTAAAGTATTTCATTTGATCTTTCGAGTTATTCAGGTCATTGTTTTCAATCGGTTTGATGTCACGTTACTTCGATTTGGATGTGGTACTGGAAAACGATGAAGAAGCAAAAAAGTTTTTAAATGCAAATTTATCGTCAGTTTCACATTCATTGTCAAATGGCGGTGATGAAGGAATTGCTGAAGACGACAAACAACCTAGAAAATCCGGCGGATTCGTCGAAATAATTTTTCATGTCTTATCAACATTTTGTAGATATCGTGATGATGACATTCGATTTAAGGCTTTGAATGCAATTGGTTAGCTTATTCTTTTTATTTGACAAGTTTTATAATGCTAATAGTTGTAAAATCTTATTTGAAATTTTTTCTTTTAGGACACTTCGCAGCTACTAACTCGGAATATCTTAAGCGGCCTGAGTTGCGCAACATGTATCTGACATTGTTAGGAACGAACGATAGCGAGTACTTATGCTTGAAAATACAGTGCCTCAAAAATTTGGAGTTATTTCTTAGCGCTGAAGAGTCGAAAATGGTTAAAAATAACAGCGAGTGTTAGCTTTTGTTACTGTCTAAAATTTTGCGGGCAATTTGTACCTGTATTGCTATGCAGTCGAAAATTAATAAATGTATAGCAGTAAATATTTGACGAATTGAACACCTTGAAGTTTTCTTGTAGAAAATCATTTAAAATTGTCAGAGATTAAATTGCTGATAACATTTGTTTAAATTTTGCAGCTTTGTTGTACTATTTCTAGTGCAACGTCACTTTTTAGACTAGTGAAATCTTAATAAAAAAGTAGAAACTTAAAAATACTGCAAGTCTTCAAATATTTTGTTTAATTGTCAGGCATTTTAGGGCATATTTCAAAAGAAGAACATGATCTGAAAGAAATGGAATTGGCAAATTCTGGTTTAGCTTCAACAGTTATACAACTCTATTGGAATGCCGTTCTTAATTCATATTATAATGCTAGTGATGCTGTGCGTACGGCTGCAGTTCAGGTCATCAAAATTTTCATGTACTGTTGACGATAAATTGAAGGAAAACTTTTTTTTGCTCCTTCAATTTTTTTTTGAGAAGCGTTGAATTTTGGAAAAGGTATGAAAGTTTTTTTATTTACATTTGAGAATACTTTACATTAAAGTGTTCTAGGTAGCGATTTTAACTCTCAGTCAGGGTTTGGTTACACCAGGTTCATCAATTCCAACTTTGATTGCAATGACTACTGATAAAAACACAATTGTTCGCAATAAAGTCGAACACATGTTAAGGGAGATTGATTCTAAATATGCAGGGATGGTTCCAGTTAGTGGTTTTCGCTATGTCTTATTATCTTTAATTTTACAGTGTTCTATCAGCTTACATTTTATAATGCCATATTTCTTAATGTGACTTGTGTATTTGTTTGTATTAAGGAATGCGAGGTTTGATAATGTAAAGTTTGCAAAGAAGAAAAAATGAAATAAAAGAAAATCTTAAGACAAATGGTTTTATGTAATTCAACCGAAAGTTTGAGTTCAGTGTATTTTGCCTTTTTATTAATGTTATATGGTTTGAAGGAAGTGATTTTTATTGTGTTTTGTTTTGCAGAGCAAAGCAATAGCTGGCATAAGATGTTCATTTCGTTTACATATGATCATGAAAGCTAATCAAGGATCAATCCTTCGTGGTATTAGAACATGCTTTCAGTCAGCTGCTTCTGGTAACTCTTTCGACATCAATATTCACTATTGGCACCATTCTCTGGCGTAAAAACTCAATCATTTTGAAATTTTTGTTCAGGTTCTTCTGATAATGTGGCAAACGAGATGCCAAAGATGACTAACGATGGACAAGCATTATTGAGTGGATTGTATCAAAATCTTCGTTGTAATCGTCAACAGCGAAGGAGTTTTCTGTCTTCTGTTTTACGCCTATTTTCTGAAGATTCCCGAGAGGTTTTTGTCGAAGTTTTAGTTTGGATGGCAAAAATTGAAAGGTTTTCAAAATTTAGGGCTCATTTTTTAGCAGAACTGATATTGGTTTGTGTTTTAGAAACTATCATTAGAAGAATGGGTATTCGTTGCTGACAATCTGGCAATGTTTCCTTATCAAGTAGTGGATGAGCCACTATATGTTATCCGTCAAATAGAATCGATTGTTTCCATTAGCGGACAAAGTATAATCAGTGTTTTCATGGCACATCTTTTACCTCGACCAAAGGTTGAAGAAATTGATGATGAGGCCGAATTCAATCCTGAACTTATTTACATTAAGTTTCATACTTTATTTATTTTGCCAAACATGATACATGTGTATTTGGTAAAAATCGTGTGGACTTTTTGTTTTGTCATAGTGGATGAACGTATTATTGTATCTTTCGTGAGCAGTTGCGTCATTGTCAACGTATAAGTCAGCAAAATCTAATTGCAGAAGAAAACTGTTGTAAAAAAAATGAATATTTCATCTTCGAAACCTTTGAGTGGTTCAGTATTTGGATGAAAACGAGAACTCTATCTAATTGTTGAAAGTCGAAATGAAATGCGTTTTTTTTGCATTAGCATTTCTCTCTGAATTATATCTCATTCTTACTGAAATCTTTTTGCAGGGCGATTGCCGGAAGATAAGAGTATGCTTTACGAATGTATGAAAAATAGTCAGGCGTGTTTTATATTGCTCTATCTAAAAAATTTTTTGATGAAACTTTATGGCTTCAGTGAATCGTAAGTAATATTTTTATTCGTTTCTTAAGTAGGTTGCAGAAAAATGTTCTTTCAAGGATATTAATTTTGGTACCTATGGTATGAATTAAATAAAGAAATCTCTCTTTGGAATTTTTCTGTTAAAAAAAAACACAATTGTATTCTATGTAGTACTCATTCTTCGCGGTTATTTTTTATGTATTGCTTTAGTTTTTTCGTTTTTAGGAAAGTACAAGAGTACAGTCCATCAGAATCTGCTAAGGTTTATGAAAAACCTGTAAATACTAGAAGGAATATGTTGATATTTAGTCCTCACTCAGCTTTGCAAGAACTTGTGGCTGAAGCAGCACTAAATCGGGATACAGTTGATGGTCATATTCGAATGGCTAATCAAATTGTTGCTGTAAGTTTTCTTATTAATATTTCATCTTCAATCGGTAACATAAGGCTTAATTAATTCAAACTAGCTTCTAGAACTTTTTCATTCATTTTCATGTTTCAGTTTCGGAATATGTTGCTTTCGTTAGATCATGACAATGATGATGAAGATGACAAACCAGATGTTAGTCTGTGTCCTACACCTGCTATGCCATCAAAGGAGAATGTGAATCTCATAACAGAAGATCAGGGTAATGCGAATACGTCAGCACCTTATAGTGTTTTAGAAAATATTGACTTGAGTCAAACCGGCAATAGCTAACAGGAAAATCATACAATTCATTATCATTCGACATTAAGTTCTGTATTATTTCAACCTAGAATATTCGAATATTTTATATGATGATATACTGCGCTTGTCTGTCACAAAATTCAGTCTCAGGAGATAGGTTGTTATTTCATCTTTGTTTACGGTACATTCTTTTAAATGTCCGACTTACAGTGACTCTTTTATACTTAAAATGCGTAAGCAGTATTGTTTGACGTAATAGTAACTCAAAATTTTAATCACTGTAAAGTCGGACATTTTCTCTAGTGAGTATAATGTCTGGTCATACTCAATTTTTGACAAAACGATAGTCTGGTCTGTTAGTGTAGTTTAGTCTTTTTATAAGCACCACTTAAGATTGCAACATTATAACTCACTCTAAATAATGAACCACAAATTGGTTGCTAAACAGATCAGTAGTGAAATGTTGCTGTGCGGCACCGGTGGAATCAGTTCAACAACTTTATGAGAAGACCATGCCAACTAATGCATAATTTTGTAGTTTTTATATTGTATCCGTAATACAAGTGCCAAGTCTATAGCTCCTTATGTTGTTTTTATTACCAGATCTTTATCTTCGAATTTTAGATACTCATCTGTTTTTAATTAATATTTCCTCGTGTTTTACCATACTAATCTTGATATCCCATTGCTGGCATCACTTGAAACCTCTCCTACCTCTAGTTTTTACTCCCTTAAAATTGAATTTTAAGAATTACGCGACTAGTGAGCGTTTCAGATGCCACTACCCTCACGAAGCATTTGAGATGCCATTATTTTCGTGAAGCCTCGAACTCAATAAGTTCATGGTATGCATTTCAATACTGTAGTGATCGTGACCAACTGTAAATTAACTGTATTGCGTTTTATGATATTCAATTGTTTAAAGAGTATTTCATGGCATCCATATCCCAAGTATCTTTATTTGTATTGTTGCTGTGACGCTGAAAACAATTTCCTTAGAATCGTTTGATTCATGGGACCTGGAGTACCGCTCAGTGTGCCGATGTACGTATTAATAATGAGAAGCTGAGCCCGGCACTACTTCGAAGTAAAGACCTACATTTTCTTGTGGCACAATCGTGCTAGACAAGTTTGGGACGCAGTAACAGCCACAGAATGAGGTTCATAATTCAACTGCGAGATTGTTCGAATCAAGCCTTGTACAATATGATTCAGGATTTAGTGTCGGAGAATTTCAACTCCCACAGCAGCATTGGGAACCTGGGAAAAAGAATTTAGACACTGCATGAGATGCGGTCTGTGGATTTCTCAATCCACGCATAATAATGGAGATTCGGAATTGAAGTTTTACTATACAGCCAATAGTTTATATAGAAAATGCAATGCTGCTAATCCTATTCAAGAGTTTTTGTGCTTCCATTACCATAATTGGGAATCAGTCACAAAATATGAAGACTAGTTCCGGCAGTATCCTGCGACATGCCTGCTGAACATCCTGGCTCTAAATTCTGCACCTCGACACTACTACAATCATCTAGTTGCGCTGCTGAAATCACAAGTTGAGAACTCCAGGACATTTACTTTCAATCTAATCAGCTTGGATGTCAATATGTCTAAAAATAAAGGTTGTCTAACTCTTTAGTATGTCGCAACACTCTAATTGGATGTGTACGAGGAATTAGTATTTTGACCTTTAGATGAGTCACTATGCACGCGTCTGATATGTTTCCGTAATTCACTTGGTATTGGATAGGTTTTGTCACATAATTCACAAACGAATTTGCGTCCCTGATGTCGTTTCCGGTGAACTAACAACAATATTCTGGTCTTGAAACGTTTTGAACAAATGTTACAAGCGAATGGAAGACATGGCTGGAAAATAGAATAATCATCCACGTCTTGACTAAAAGAAGGAAAAATAGGAGCTGACTAAAAAGAAAAATAGACGTTACCGACTGCACAACTTCGTACCGATCGATTTCATTAATTTTCTCATCTGGATGAATTCGACCCATATGTCTTAATAAAGATTGCCGTGATGCAAACGTTCTACTGCATATTTTACACGTCGTACCTGGATTACAGAAAATAAAAATCTAAAAAAAAGGAATACCTATTTGAAGGGAAATAGAAATATTAATTCTCACCAACTTTTGGTCTAGATGATACAGAAAACACAGAACTTGTAGATGAAGCAGAGGACTCGTATTTTTGTTGCTTACTACGAGGCTCTTTTGAACAGGAGTATTTGTGCCTCTAAAAGTGCTAACAAAATGTATCAGTCCCAACAAAAACTAATTTCTTATCAGATATTTCATTAAAAATACACATATATCCGAAAAAATAATTCATAGTGAAATTAAAATACGAACATGGGTACGAAACCAACGTTAAAATATTAAACGAATTCTAAATAAATAGAATATGTGTATTTTTAATTATTTTTTCGGATATAAATATTTTAACGTTCCGAATACTATAAATCAAAAAAACACTTGCATTCAGTTCAATGGAAGTCCCGAACTTCTGTTCACACTTGGAGCAGTTATAATTTAAATTTCGAATCTTCTCGCCGTTTTCATCAATTCCATGGATCTTACTCTTATGTACAATGAGTGATTCGAATTTTCTAAATATATAGTAGAGAAGTTAAATAATGCTCATCTGAGACGATTATCTCAACAACTACAATATTTTTACAGTACTTTTCCTCAATCTTTCACAACAAAAAAGTGGACCGGAATGATGAAGAGCAACGATTGCAGGTATGCACAAGAGAAAGATCATGCGTACGTTCATGTCTCTGTAGATGATGCTTGAGTTTGAAGCGCCTGTAGCAGTGTTTACATTTAAACTTGTAATCCTAAAAATATTTTCCTTTGCAAAGCAATATGGAACTTACAAAAGACTGAACTCATTAATTCACCATAATTAAGGATTCTGAAACATTATAAGCAGCAACAGTCGAACCTTGCTAGAAAAATGGCTTTCATTAACATGACTTCGCATTGAAAATTCATCATCGAATACTCGACCACAAGCAAAACATATAAACATTTTATAATTCTGAAAATAAAGTTTTGGTCAATGAAAGTTTTTAGTATGACATGCATTTCTATAGACCAGCAATAGAGAAATGCTTTACTCTGACATTTCTATCTTTAATTAAGTTTGATGGCTTTGAGCGTTCTTCGAAATATTTCAAAATTTCCTCCAATTTCGCATCACTCTTCATTAATTTTATGGACTGCGCAGTCCTTGCTTTTTCAATCTAAAGAATAAATGGTTATAACGCAATATCAGTATTACTGGATAAATGTAAACAGAAAGTGCAAAACTGTAAAAAAAATAATATACTGGTATATAAAAAGGTGTGATCATAGTTTTAAATATGATTTTCCTAAAATATTCATGATTAATATTTTTACTCATACAACATTACTTCTGATGTGCAATATGGGATTTGTAATAAGCATCAATGTTTATGCACCTGAGCAATCACATCGTTCATTGCATCTATTTCAATGAAATACTCCGCTTCTGGATCATCATCTGTAGCTTCTGTAGTGGTAATGCTTTGACCACTATCCAAATCCGGCATATCCTCAGTTTCTTCAGTAACTTTACTAATCCATTCCGAATACTGAACATAGCCATCAATAGCAGTCCTCCACCTCTGTTGTTCACTTCTCCGCTCCCTCTTAATGTCACGAGCTTGATTATAAGCTATAAAGTGAATTAAAATGAAACATCCCATAATAGACTCATGTTTATCTTGCATCAGTTTACAAAGCAGCGTTAATAAACTCATGTAATGTAAGCAATATTTTATTAAAATGAAACAATATGCAATATCTTCACAAAAAAACGATGTAACCATGCCCGCATGATTCTTTGTAGACTATTCAAGTAACCTTGCTTGGTAGTACTTGGCACAACAAACTCGCCAACTTCTTCGGTCAATGGCTGTAATTCATGGAAATCCTTTTTATCAGTGGTCACGGTATAAGCCATGCCATCCCCGATAGTATCAGTGGCAACATCACAAGTTTGCGAATGGTCTAAGTCTTCTTCTTCAGCTTCAGCATTTTTTATCTGCAATATTTGTCCTTAATCTAAAACATTTTGCATGAAATCACCCAATTTCTTCAGTTAATTAATAAATCCATCTTCAGTCAAAAAATGGAGCAAATTCGGTCTTAGATCTACTCCACTTTCTGTCGTTTTCGGTCTGTTCCTCTCCAGCCAACGATTTCGGAACTTCTATACCTCAGCAGCAGAGAGATCGTTCTCATGACGGTTACCACAGAATGTTATCATAGAATTCCTGAACCACCAGCTATTTCACGATATACAGAAATGATGAATTTAATTGATAGCAATGTCAATTTGATAGCAGAAATCGTGGTTCCCCACTATGCAAATCATTTGGATCACAACGTTCAGACTGTGTTGACATTGGTATCACTGCAGTCAAATGCTTCAGGATCGTTAAATAATTCACTTGATAGAAATATTATGCGGTTTGTAACTAACAGAGCTTAAAAATCTCTGATATTTATCAGATATTATTTGGAAATACATGATGAGAATTGTCTTTGATGATGATCTTGAAATTTGCATAGTGGGTATTCAAAATATATCTGGATATATTGCATACTCTCCTACATGTTTTCAGCACGGAAATGGAATGTTTGGTGGAAACTTTAGTACTTTTACAGATGTTAATTAACATGCAAGTGGATAAGATAGATGGTATTTATGGAAACTACCCGAAAGATATGCAGCTGTGAGTAACTGTGTCCTTTTCCAGTTTGTATAGAAATTGCTCTGAAGAATTTTTTATAACTTCACAAATTTGCAGCTGTTTGCTAATTGCCAAGTTTTTTCATATTACAGCAACTGCAATTTAGTGTTAAATTCGTAAATCTGGTCACTTTGAATAACTTTCAAAAATCAAATTCAGTGTTTCCGTGTGCTCTGTAACGAATTACTGCTCAGTATTCGGTAAGAAGGGTTGTTGTAAATAGTGCACTATGTTGGTATCTACTGCTTGATCATTCAGAATGGCATAATTTTTTTTCGAAAATCTATCGATTCAAAATTTGAAAATTTTAATTCTCATATTTCCATGAATTATTAAGTGAAATGAAAATGAATCAGGTTGAAAAATAAATCAGTGAAACGGCATTGTAGTCATGTATCAGACATAAATTTTATGTCCTTCATTTGATTTGCTAACGCATTACAAAGAGGCATAAACATATTTTTCAGTGCTATTTCGTATATTAAATATCATCTATTTTTAGTGTGCTGAGGGTTGCTACTAATTAATGGTTTAAATAACTTTTCCCAACAAGTGATTTTCTGATTTATCAATATCTCTATTCTTGAAAGAAAAATTATCAAAATACTTCCCTATTTTCATAAAGATCAATAAGCAATAAAAATATTGTGCTGGTTTGAATACTTGAGTATGTATGTTTTTCCAGTCGGTATTCGGGAAGCCATGAGCGCTGTAGTAAAGTATAATTCAATATAAAATACTAATATTTAATCGTTTATTACATTTCCGTTGTGCGAAATGATTTTATAGCAACAGAACGTGAAGTGTACATAGTGAACAGAGTGAACGAACATGGTAGCCTAAACAATAAATTCACGAAGTTTGCATGTCCAAGATGTTTTCTGCGATTCATTTTTTCAGTATATTATCAATAAATCAAAATATCGTTGTAGATTAAACCCACCCAATTTACAAGTGATTTTCAATTTATCAACTGTCGACGAGATCACTTTTTGCATTTATTGTAAAACTGAAACGCTTAAAAAATTTTCTCATTTCTAAAAAAATACTCTCAAATGTATGCATATGTCAGTAATTTCAAAAAATTTTGCATTGGCTTTGGAAACTTACAGCTTCATACTTATTTATGAAGTTTAACTCCTCAAAAGACCGTATCTAGATAAGCTTTCAAATTTATGACAAAGTTCATAGTTTACAACGGAATGACTAGAATTTTTTATATCTGCTCAAGTGTTATTAGTTTGGAAAGGAAGTCCTCATATATGGCTTTAATGAACTTCTGTTATCAATTAGTTGCTAAGATTTGGTAAAAAATGTTATAATCTCGCAAATTTTTGATAAATAACTTGCCAACTCGATAACAATTCACGCAAATTCAATGCATTTCATTTTGAAATTGAGTTCAGGTTTTCATCAGTATAACATCTGTATCAGAAATGCATTCAGTACAAAGCAAATGAAAATGGAGGGATGAATATAACTACATTGACAAGTTGAAAATGGGATAATTTTTAATTTGGGAGGTAAGCATCAAAATATAAAGAATTGATTGCATAGATCATTCCCTCTGCGTTATCACTTTTCTGTTCGTGTCATAGTTTCACTTTGAAATACACACTTTCCCCCTTTTTACAATGTTTTGTACTGTATGTAGTAAAAAATATCTAGTATTTGTAATGAGATCGAATTTTTGTTCATTCTGCTTGAATTGAACTTGAGTCACTTCTTACTTAGTTAATAATCTCAGTTTCACATTAAAAAGAGTCATTGGATCTCATTTTTGAATCACTGAAAAATATTCAGTTATAATTTAAACTAAAATTTAATCAAATGAGTCCTTTTTTTTAAATAAATTTTACTTCATTTTTCAAAGTTTTATTTGAAACATAATTCCTCCTACTGAGTTTTGTATTAGATATACTAAAACCAAACTTTAGTAAAGTGTGCGTTCATGAGTGGAGTTTACGTACAATTATAAAAAACCTCATTTATTAAGTTTTGAGAAGAAAAATGATATGCATCCGTTCTCGAATCTTGCTAATTTAGATTGTGTCCATAAAATTTGCTTAATTTTTCATCTTTGAAGGAAATTGAAACATTAAAACTTGGCAACATAAAACTTACTCTATTAATTATAGATGGAAAATTATCGAAGAAGTGAGTGTCCAATTTTTTTTTCACTAAATATTTGGAATATAAAATATAGCAGAAAATCGTATTTATTCACTGATTTCATTTTTGAATTATCGTATCAAATAAGTGATTTTTATTGTTAAATTTTAGTGTTTCATTATGTCATCTGCGATATGTCTGTATCCATCTTTTATTTTTTTCAGATTATATACTTTTTTCAGTGTGTCCCTGAAATATCAATATTTATTTTCAGTCTTTTAAATAATTCACTTTTGCGCCTTTCAATTTTCATTTTTGCTGGCTTTCACTCAATTACTTCAAAACATGACATTTTTACATCTGTAACCAATTTATTTTATTGCTCGGCATTGTATAACAACACCATCTGCCACGACAATTTGCATAAAAATTATGTGAAATGAAGATAAGAATTGGATTTCTTTATTTTACGTACAAAATAAACCCAAATTGCTATTTCGATGATAATCAACATATTAGTTAATAGTAACATGAAACCAACGGTAGAAATCCTCAAAAGCGTGATGAGTATCATTAGTTCTCTTAATCTTCATTAATAATTTCCTTATCTGTGAAACCATATGCAAATCTACTTTCCATATCTCCACATTTCTCTAAAAAATAAAATAATACTTTCAACTGTTATTTATTTTTATTTTTTAGAGAAATGTGGAGATATGGAAAGTAGATTTGCATGATGAAGCAGCAAAATGTACGAAGTAAAAAGGAATATCTCAAAATCTTACAAAATTGATGTCCTGATTTGTTTTTATTAGTTTGTTCATTCATTTCCAATTTGAAGCAGAAAGCATCTGTCTCATATGTTTTGACCAAAAAACCAGAAATAAGCAAAAAAATTTTGTTCGTACTTTGATACCAGAAATAAATTTCGGAAATTCGGAACTAAAAGTCAGGACTTCTGTTGGCTGCACAAATCAAACAACATAATGATATTTACATAGTTTTTGGAAATATAATGCGGCAGATTTTTGTGAAATAAAACTTCAGTTTTGAAAATTTTTGGTTGAATATAAAAGCTGCCAACCAGTATTAGTTGACAAAATATCAAGTAATAAATCAATAAAATGTAAAGGTTAGTTTTAATTTTCGCTCTTCATTGGTTCTGGCTCTGGATCGCATTGTGGCACTCTGGCAGTACTTGTCCCGCGTTCAGATTTGTTGTACTCATCGTTCTCGCTTCGTCCTCGTAAAATCCATACCGTCTGTCGAAGGAGATGATTCGAGCGTCTTCTTGAGGATTATCGATTAGATGTATGACTCGACATGGTCTAATATACTAATCTCCTTCGCATAGCATTTGTGGAAATTCGTTATAATCCTATCCCAGGTCATGACATACGGAATTATTTTGATCCTGCATTTCATCTCGACCCAAGCTTATTAGGTATTCCCTTTTTCTCGGTCTCGGCAGCTGCCAGCCTGTCCTGACTAGTGATATATCAAGTATTATATGACTTTATTATTTTAGTAAAAACTGATAGGATTAGTTTAATGCAAGATATGAACATAAATAAATGTTTTTGTTTTATAAAAAATGTTTGATTATTATCATGCAGTATTAAAATTTAGTCAAATTAATCAATTACTCAAACGTATGTTAATTACATCAATTTGCCGGTAACTTTATTTCGAATTCTCAGTAAAGACTTGACTAGCATTCAGGTTTCAATCAGTGTTAGATATATTGTATTGTATGAATTCTGAATTTAATTGGTAGCAATTTTTTAAATTGGTACTTTCGAAATCATAAGTGTTACATTTGCAAATAAATATTTTTGTTTAATTTAGAAATATTCAAAAAATGAAATTATTATTACTTATATTTGTATATTTATCCTAATACTGCTGTCATCTTATACATCACAAACATACCAGAAGAAAATTAGATTACAGAATGAGATAAAGTTGCTTCATAACTTATTTTTCCCAAACGGAAACGGTTCTCCTGAATTTATCACTTCGCGTTATATTAAGCTCAACAGAACAACCACTTCAGTTTCTTTACATAAAATCGGGATTCCAGATTTCGAGTGTAGTCAAGTTCTATTATCATATTTGTTACCATCTATCTATTCATCTTTTACTGTTGACTTCAATGGAAGATCAACGACTTCATCAAAACCATCTTTCATTGTTATTTTTCTTCGCAGATCACATAATTTTAAAATGCTGAAAATATAATTTTTTTTTAAAATTATTCACGAAACCAAATTTTCCATTAAAAATAATATATGTATCTGATGATTATTTATCATGAATATTTATTTAAATTATTACTAGGCAAATTAACAATTTATTTGCTAATAATATCTTTGCAACTTTCCGACATTTATTCGTAATG